ACTTTCAAAATAACAAGAAATACAGGATCTCAGATGCTGTCACTTAGAATGACCCTAAAAAATGTTTTACATCCGGCTTATATAATATCAGCATAAACTTGCTGTCCTGGCAACACATATCCAGGTTGAAGTTCCACAGACTGCAATGGGGAGTTTTGCTGAGCTATCCAGCTCATTGTACCAGATGGCACTGTATGGAAATAATACTGATCCTTTGACTGTGTTGATTTCTAATTAGGTTTCTAGTAATTAATATAGTTTGCAGGCCTTGCGTGACCTCTGCAGATTACCTTTTCATGTAAATGATTAACTGAAAGGGGATTAATCCTGGCATAAATTCAACTAAAAAGAATTTTCCAGCCTGAAAATCTTCTCTACCAGACCTGTATATTGTAACAGAGAATGAAACATTAAGTATGTGTTTGTGTTGTTGAATTTAAGAAAAGAGTAACTCAAAATATCAGAGTGTTTTAAATATCAGCATTGTGGCTGTAAATATACATTTGCTGTGACAGACTTTTTAGTCATGCTTTTTATGGAAATCAAAATGTATATTCAGTATGAGAGTTGGAAAAATCTCCTTATCTATTATTTTATAGTAGGTAAGGTAAATTCTGGCTTTGTAAAAAAGTGTATGTTTTAAAATTCTATAGTTCATGTTTAGCAACTTGTGCTGGTATATGCAAGGTTGAAATTCTTATAGCTTCAATAAATCAGTGGCAACGGGCTGTCACACACCTCTGTGCATGACCAGTTCACCTAGCACATGCACTTGCAAGATGGTCCTGTGAAGTGTGCAGCCCCTTCAGGTCAGGCAGAGCGCACGTTTACATGCTAGCACCAGAGTTTCATAACTTTACTTTTTGTTATGTTTTAAAGTGCAAAAATTGAGTGAAATGTCAAAATCTTCCTCAACCTTTTGATCCATGAAAAGCCTCACTGAGTTCAGGGGGCTGCTTAAGGGTATTCAGCCTTCCAGTATCTGAAAGGGGCCTATAAGGATACTGGGGATAGACTCTTCATTAGGGACTGTAGTGATAGGACACAGGGTAATGGGTTAAAACTTAACCAGGGGAAGTTTAGATTGGATATAAAGAGGAAGTTCTTTACTCTAAGGGTGATGAAGCACTGGAATGGGTTGCCCAGGGAAGTTGTGAATGCTCCATCCCTGGCAGTGTTCAAGGCCAGGCTGGACAGAGTCTTGGGTGACATGGTTTAGTGCAAGGTGTCCCTGCCCATGGCAGGGGGGGTGGAACTAGATGATCTTAAGGTCTTTTCCAACCCTAACTATTCTATGATTCTATGATTCAGAGACAGGTGTGTTTCTGAATCCAAGGTTTCAGCTGGTTTTGTATGTTCTCATTGCCTCTTCAAACCCCTCCTGTGGTCAGTCTATGGTTGTACATAAATATGGAATAAAAGAATTTGATTTGGCTTTCATAACCCAGTGAAATGTATTTTAAACAGCTGCCTTAGGAGCTACTGTAGGCCGATGGCCTCTTCAAATCAGAAAGTTAAATACTTATTTTGTGGGAAATGACAAGAATATTTATGGACCAAATTGAATCCTCAGGCATGAACACTGATCTCAGAGTAGGGAAGTCTGAGATGAGCTTGCTCTGGGGAAGTGTCAGTGTTGCACTGTATTTCTGAGAGTATAAGAATATACGGAAAATAAGCATTTATCCAGATGGCAACACACTGCTGAGCTCTACCTGGAAGCCCAGGCTGTGTTTCCTCACCTGGGCTCTGCAGAGCACTTCCCACTAGTGACTGCAGCTGCATCCCTTCATTCATCCTCAGAGAATGGTCCTTCCAGCCCATTGTGTGTGAAGTCTTTTCTGAAGGTTTTTGTCTGGCCCTAAAGCTGATCCCTGCTGGTCTGTGAATTGCCCAGGTGTAGAGTCATCATCAAATTAGTGGACGACACAGATACTGTGGTACTAGCAATGTGCCATCTGTGCCAGCTGAAGGCTTCTCAGCTATGTAGGCAAGACTGAATTCTGCTACCTCAGCTATAAGGGGTCAGAACTGGGTCAGAGTTGAAGGATGAAGGGACAGGACAAAGCAGGAGAAAAAGGACAGAGAGAGCTGTGGAGTGTATGGTTTGATGTACATGGCTGGGAAAGATAAGGACAGTGAACCTGGTACTGGAACAGGCCACTTGCTCTTCCCCTACCCTCATTTGGCAGCAGTTCCTGGCACGTGTTCTGAGTCAGTGCAGCCCCAGAGCAAGCCCCCTGGCACTGGCAAAGAGGGCAATGGGGCAGTAAGCATTTTACCACCCCTGCTATGATATGGTTTGGTATTGGTATGGGCCAAGAAACTGCCCACTTCATCTAGGCAGCCTGCAACAAATCAGGCCAAGCAGGAGAAGCCCATGGAGGCTGCTGCAGGCAGTGACAGCCATGCAGAAAGGGGAAACAGTGCAGCTGAGATGCATTCTAAGGAAACGAAGAAAGAATAACAAGGCAGTGATTCAGTCTCCTTCTCCCACAGAGGAAAACAGTAGCTTTACTAGGTGTGAGCAAAGCTGGGGAAGGGAACTGTCTTAGAAGCAAACAAGGGTCACTGTGATACTACATGCTACAGAATATTAACAATCCCTAGCAGATAAATACTCAAAATCATTAAATTATATATATATATTGGGCCAAGTGACTGCCTGGTGTAACTGTAGTGACTATGACAGCAAGGATGGGTTTAGTCCAGTGGGTTTAGATTCTGTACTGTTTTAACCAGATGCTTTGGATTTTGTTTTTCTTTAATGGATAATAAGGGCCATCCAAAACAGAGCTGCTGCTTTGCTTGGGTTTCATTGAAAAGGACACTACTAAAGGGAGAGAAAATCCCCAAAATGATACTCAGTGATTAAGTACCTAGAATATAGGATTTCAGTGTTTGCAAATCCTTTTTTTCAAATGAACTTGTAGCACTAATCCTCTAATGGCATTATTTCTTCGGAATATATGCCGGATTAAGAAGTCACAATGAGGCAAAGTACAAAAATCCACATTAATCTCTCACCAGTGGATACCGGGTGGGATGCAACTTCAACTATTTTGTTCCAGAATTGGTTCTGTTCCTGACCTTGCTGCAGGTCTACACAGAAGGAAGAGCAGATATAAACATGTGTGACACAGAGTACTTGGCAGATGGTCACAAACCATACAATCGGATAGAAAAGGGAAGGCATTTATTGCTTTTAAACTCCAGAAGCTAAACCTGCCCCGTGTTGTCCATGACATACTGCAAGAAGCAGGCTCACAGGTCAGCAAGGCACGAGCAGGGCACATGTTCATAAGTATGCCATGGAGGAGACAGCAACCAACACATCAAGGCCCAGTCTAGCAGCTCATGATGGCATGGCTGATATATTGCATGTTCACAGCACAGCCTGGGCCTATTGCAAAGTAATGCTCGTGTTTACAGCCCAGTGCAGCCACCTCTCTCTGGTTATCCTGCTTTGTTTTGGGATATCCCTGCTTCTCCTTCATAGCTGCTGTAAAAAGAGGTGAAGATACGCTTTCTAGAAAGAGGAAATTAAGTCCCTGCAAAACTACATTTTCCTTCTCACCAGATTACAGGGGTGGTGCCGTGGTGCCATGAGGTATTTTCACTACCATTCAACAGTTTAAAATGGTGAAAGAATTTCTGAATGGGCAGCACATCACCTAACATACTGGTGTCAGAGCATCCAAATTAGCCCACCTGAGACACTGTAACTGGTGCTTAACATGCTTAGGGATTTCCCCAGTTCCAGGAAGTGGAGATTATCAGATATTCCCATTCCACATTCTCATTGAATTGCAGCAGGCTTTGAGTGTCTTGGGCCAGCAGAGCCTGGTACATACTCACAGCATGGGTTGTGAACTACGACTGTGGTTCTGTTGTTAAGCACAAGTAAAGTGGAAAAGAGCTGTCAAATTCAGTGAGTTCCTTACCAACAGAAATGCTTGGGATTTTGATAGTCTGCATAGCGGAAACACCAGAACACATGAAGTGAATTAGCACACAGGGAGGTGATCTTTCCCAGTGGATACAAGTCTGTAGTGAGATGCTAGTTTCAAGAACTGGGACAGGGCAGCCACTCCTGGGTGTCAGAAAACCTTAAAACCAGCTTGGAGATCCTTTCTGTTTGGGAATAGAAATGTGCCCTACATTCCTGCAAGGAAAGATTGTTCATCACACTAGTTTTGTGCATTTTTTCCTACTGTAAATGTTTGCCAGCATAGTACTAGTCATGGGTGGGAGGATTCGCCTCATATTCACTGTAAGATTTACTTCCCTTAATCTTATCCTGTTGGCTCCTAGCAGCACTCAGTGCTTCATTTCACTCTGAGTCATTTGTACATTGACACATAAGGGATGCTTTGCAAAGCCAAGAAAAACAGGAACTGCCTTACACAGAAAGCCTGTCCTCAAGAATCGTGTCTGCTCAGCTGCTTTCAAAGGAATCATTAGTTTTGTTGACCAGCTTTATCATTCCCCAGCAAAAGCTCTCCAGTTTGCATATGTCTTTAGTGTATACATATCAGTGGATGGTCCCTCGTATTTAAGGAAGCAAAAACTATACTGCAGCAGGTGCAAAGGTGAGCAGGAAATGATAAGGGAAATGGAGAGTTTGCCACATGAGAGGAGACTAGAAGAGTTTAGGTTGTTTAGCCTACAAAAGTGAAGACCTTGTGGATTAAAAAGAATCATCAAAACTAAAGAGATTTAACATAAATGTCCGTGAGTATGTTTAATATGGAAATTGTAACATTTGTCATCATGGAAATCAGATTTTAGAGCAGATAGACAAAAGGTATAGTGACAAAAAGTGTACAGTGAAATATGATGTATGTATACATTGTATGAAATGATTACATTGTAATGTTGTATATGCTGTTGCCTACAAGTAAATTGTGCCTGATGATGCAGTGTGACCCCCTCCTCCAATGTCTCCTGTTAACATAAAACAGAGTGCGCTGTATCCCCTGTATTCCTTTTTGTTACAGAACTATTCAACATCCTACTGACAGCACAGCTTTCCTCACCCTCCAGCAGTATTTCTGACCAGTATGGACGAAAGGGGTGGGAAAACAAAGAACTTTTCTTCAGGTAGTCTGGTAACCCGATCTGTAAGGTGACTCAGCCTCTTCGAACAACAGCTGTTTCGGGGACATGCAGTGGTTAGCACACAGTGTTAAAGTCTGTGCTGCCTCTTCCTGGTTTCTGCCTGGTGAATGATCTGAACTGCGGCATGATCACAGCATTTAAATGGACTTCTCACACTCCCCCCCCAAAAAGAGAGACCAGAGAGAGCAGGCTAACACTGAGAGACAGTGCAAAGGAATAGAGGCATCAGGAAAGAGCCCACAAACCACTTGTGCAGAGCTGCTGCTATCAAACTGATGAAGACAGAAGCTCTTGAAAGAAAACTACATGGAGAGTCCTATGAGGGAAAGAAGTGAAGTTTTGTTTGCGTATCATAGCTCACTTCTCCTGCAAGCCCTGACAGTACTGTAAAACGTGAGAGATCCTTAAGTGTACCAATGGAAAAGACAGGTATGTTTCTTTGTTTAAAATAATACTGTTCTACAGCATGAAAACACAGCAGGGTAACCAGAATTGTTTTACAGCTCTGTAAACGTGCATGTACAGCTATGCAGACTGCTTTGTATAATTTTTTACTTAGAAGAACTAGAGCTGTAAAAGGCTATTAAGAGCAAGACTTTAAACAATGCATCAGCTTTTTGTAAGTACCCTGCCCTTGAACACTCATATTGTGGTAGAGAACTCCCAACACACTTAGAAAATTTACCTAAATACATATACATCAGTATATAACCCCACATTTATATACACACACACAAAGTATGTGTATATAAAAACTACATTTGCTTTATTTTGACATTTGCCAACTCTTTTGACATTGACCCAACTCTTTGCTATAATAACATGAAATTACTTGTGCAAGTTGTGGGGTTTCTGATACTACTTCATATGTTTCTCTTTTGGGAAAGTTTGTGCCAGTAACATTCTATATAACTGACTTATTAAAATGATTGAGTTAATGTACTCTATGAATGACAGCAAATTGTGGAATGAGTTCTGTGTGCAGATCTGTACTGGGAAAGGGGGAATCTGTGAGCACAGAAATCCATTCGTGAGCTCTGATGAATCACAGAATTGAGTTCTGAGCAGAGATCATCTCTCTTGCAGTCAGTGGCACACAGCAGGGCTTGATACATGCCTCTTCCATGTGGTCCTTCCAAAGGAGAAGTCAGTGAATGCCTACCTAATTTTTAAGACTGCTCCGTTAAAAGCATGAGTTTGTGTGTGAATGCTAGAACTAAAACTAACAAAAGAGCATTAAATGAATGTTCAAAGAAAAACAAAACAGTTTCAGAATCACTGGATGATGCTTGTGTAGTATGATCAGAAATAAGAATGTGCATAAATTATAAAATCAAACTTTATATTAGTCACTGAAACAGAGGTTGCTATAGTACTGAACTGTTTCAAACAAGCTATCAGGGGGGCCTGTTTTCTTCTAGCAGTGTCACACTCTGAATGTTCATAGCTATGACATCTGGTTGTTTTCAGCACTATCGCTTCAGCTTTGCTCTAAGGTTAATGGGGTTTTGTTTGCATGTTCCACCCTGAGCTTGGGAGCATTTGACATGATTCAGGCAAGGATGTCCTTGTACTCCCTCTTGCACACCTCCTCCTCCTCCCACCTTTGTAACTGCCTTTGGCAAGGAGAATCACTTTGGTGTAAAACTTCACCTGGCATCCTCTTACAACAGAGACATCTCAGCCTTGCTTCTTTAATGTGGCCCAAGACTGTGAACTAAACATGGGGATTCAGTGGTAGGAGAAGCAGCAAGTTCACCCTTCAGTGCCTGGTGGCCAGGTGGGGTGGCCTTAAGGGGCTTGTTGGCACTAACCAAGCAGCAGAGAGTGATACCACTGAGAACTGGGACCACCGAGTCTGCTGTATTAATACTGAGTATTACCTGTTCCTTTTGGAGGGGGAGTTCAGAGTCTGGTCTACTAAATAGTGCTTTTTTGATATTAGCAGGGAGGGAATCGTAGGAAATTCTCACTGCATCTGCCGCTGTGAAAGAAGGTAAGCAAGAGTAAATGTTCCTAAAACTAATACTTTCTGTGTCTGCTGATCCCCTGAAAGATGACATGCATAGCTGCCAGGATAAGCATGAAGAGGATATCCCAGAGAGTTCCCCGTTTGACTTTGTTATGAAACAGCTTCAAAGAAAAAGGTCATCTCCTGGAAAAAGAAAAGAGCAGCCTTCAGCCATGAAAAAATTCTTCAGGGGCTTTGACTTTGGGAAATCTGAAGGCAAGGACAGAAGGGAAATTGAAGAAACAGAAATAATTCTGGAGCTAATGATCAGAGTGAGAAGGAAGATCTCTCTGCAGAAGGTAATGCCAGTACAATAATGGAATACATGTTTTATGAAATACATATTTCAATTTCATAGAAAATCAGTTGTTTTTCTTGCAAGCCAGAATCCTGTATTTTGCTGTCTACAGTTTATCCTTCAGCTAGGATTTCCTTCTGATTGGAGTATTATCAAGGATATACCCTCAAATTTGATAGATGCCAAGCAAGGAGCGAGACCCATGTTGCTGAGGAGGAATAAAGCTTTTGGGTGACCTCTCTCTTGATTTCCAATGTGAAAGATCAGTGCTGGAGTCGGCTCATTAGTTAGAGAACTTACTTGGTTTCAAAGCCAAGAGTTGAGCAGTAGCTTGACTTGTATGTGGGATCACTCTCTGTCCGCCCTGCTGCTAAAGTAATCTGAAGACAACAAGAGCAGATGTTTTCTACCACTTGACATTGGTAAGGGGGAGGGGGAGGGAATGGAAATTCATTGTGTATGTGATTTTGGGCACACAAGAATAGTCTTTATATCCACACTAGAGAAAATGAGGCTGTTTTTAAAAAGGAGCTGGAAGGTGATGCTTAGAACCCCATCCTTTGTCCTAAGAGTTTTGGGTAGGTTTGGGCAACCAATGAGAGGATGGCTACTGGGAGTGGGATTGCTATTTTGTATAAATTTTTGCTTTTTTCCAGTTATAGGCATTAGATGAAATTACTGATTTGTTAAAGAGTTTATCAATGAATGCAAAGGCAATTTTCCTTGCTATACAACCTGCATGAAAGAAGAAGGTAAGCAAGGGATGCTTTGCAAAGCCAAGAAAAGCAGTAAATGCCTTACACACATGATGAAAATTAACACAGGCTGTCATCAAGGCAGCAGCAGGTTCACCACACAATTGCAGGGCCACTTGGTGCTAACTTATCAGGGCGTATTGCAGCAGTGGGGCTACAGTGCAGGCACACAGAGGTGGTTGTATGACTTGTGCATCCAGAGTAGCTGCAGTGCAGACTTTTGCATGGATTTCATGTCCTTGAACTGGGGGTGTGACCATCCAAAGTCACTGGCATAAAGGTAGCGTGGGGACGTGCAACAGGACATTCTTTTCCCACTCTGCATCAGGAGCTTTGTAGTGATCTGACCTAGAGTGACCTTATCGCTCAGAATATTGGTCCACATTGATCAAAAACAGATCCTGTTTTACTGACAGATTTAGTTCATTTCCTAAAGTCCTTACCTGACAGTCACAGGTAGGTTTTACACACACTGTTAGTAGCAGAAATAACCAGGACCCTATTTCTTTGTTACTCAGATGGAATTTCACATCTCATTTCTGAAGCAGGGTCACCATCTGATGACCAGATATTTAACCAATTCATGCAGAAACTGGGGAAGAAACCCAACAGCAAGAATCTGGATCTAAATAATTGTGCATTAAGTGCAGCAGATGTAACAGAGCTGGGTAAATACACATTTTATTCAACTAGTCACTTCATACATTTCTTTAATTCTTATTTGCCTATTCAGTTATTCACTTTCCTCTTTTCCATTCCCTTTCTTTTACACAGGTCTGGCTTTATTTAACAATTTATCTGGTGGTCCCAGGTCCCTGAGAAATGTTAATTAATAAGTTACACAAATTATGTAATATATATATAAATATAAAAATCAAACAAGTCTGTGAAGCAGACTCATGTCTTTAACACTCGAACTACAGATAAGAAAACTGAGATACAAATTGTCATGGCTTAAAAATGCTGTATTTGTTGTAGAAAGCATCTTTGTATTAAGATGTATAAACATCCAGAGTGTGCGGAGAACATGCAAAGAGAATTCCTTTTTCTTTTTTTTTTTTTTTTTTTACAGCTTCTTTACTGCCCTTTCTCCCAGAGCTGGAAGAAATCCGGCTGTCCTGGAATGGTGGTGTTGGTGGGACTTTGAAAGCTCTCACTGTTCATCTTCATCATGTAAACCTGTTAAAAGTCCTTCAACTTAACAACTGCAGACTAACAGCTGAGGATGTCACCTCCTTAGGTACAGGATTTCATTTATATTCACTTCAAGACATCTTGGGCCTAACATAATCCATCTCATCTCTTCCTACATCCCACTCTTGCTGCTTCCACAAAGGACAATGTAAACTCCTGCTCTGAAACAGTAGAAAGAACTTGAGTTTACGGGTCGCTCTGCCAAGTTCATTCCTCAGGGTATGAAGATTTCATATTCAGAAGGGAACAGAATTCAGTCCTGTTTGCAGGAAAGCATGTTTTCAATTCCAATTAGTGTTTTGTTTTGTTTTTCTATCTTTGATATCTAATGATAGAAGAACTGAAACAGAGTCAGTCATAATAGGGTCACCTTAGGTCTTCATGAGGCAGGACAGATGAGTGCTCATCACAAAAAAATGTTGATCTTTTGGAAGAGACTTAAAACCAGAACTGCTGCTTGAAGCTTATGACTTGTTTTTGCAGGCCTGGGAGAAGCTTATTCCCTTGATTACTTCTTTGCTTGGAGTGCCTGCAACCCTGCTTTCTGCAAAGCATGAGATTTAAAAGTTTTAAAGGTAGTGTTACGTACTCGTGTTCTGACACTGAGTCACCTCGGGGCCTGGAGTTTACTGTGGGATGTGTCTCTGATACATATCAAAAAGGAGGACAGACTCAATCAACTGGGAATTCAAAAACTACTGCTTATTTTGCGAGTCCTAAAAGCCAGTCTGAGTTATAAATCTGGGGTTTATGTCATTCATATCTAGGCTTTTTCCAGGAAAGGTTTGGCAATAAAATATGTGGTGGTAGCACACAAGTGGGTCACGCTATCTGCTGGGGACGAAAACTGTATCTCTCATCTCTACAAAAGCTGGTGAAAATAATTATTGGTCCATTTCTGATCTTTGTTTTGTTTTGTGTTTGGTTTTTATTTTCCAAATTTATTTTTATCCTTTATCAAGCCCTTGAGTTTTATTAGTTACTGGTTATATTTCCAATTGATTTATTCTGCCTGGTTCTTCTCTGCAGTTTCCTTCCCTCTTCTGGCTTGGTCTCTGCTGAGACAGATACAAAACTGGTCATAGGACTTGAATTTCCAGCCAAAATGCGATGCCCTTGACATGTGGAATAGCAACACTCAGTTTGCGTTGATTTTGCCTGCGATTTTGAAAACAGCATGTGCATTCAGGCCACTACTGCCTGTTTGACTATGTTCATATTTATCCGTGGAAATGTGGCCACTTGTGGACTCAGTGCATTTCGCTTAGAAATCACATAACCATAATATCGGCCTCTCCTATGTGATTGCTTAGAGCTGTGAGAAGTGATAGGAAAGCATTCCTGGAGTTGTAGTCCTTTATTTATCTTCTGGGTGGAAAATGTGTCTGGAATGGTACTCCCCATGTCAAACAGAAACAGCCTATGCTGTAGAGGCAAAACCATTTCTCAGCTGCAGAGCATTGCGTAGTGTTCAAGAATGAGGCAATAATTTTGAATAAGTGCAGAAACAGAAACTGCAACATGTCCTTTTCTCTCAGACCTAGATATTCCCTTTCAATAGCAGAAATAATTAGTTTTCTATTATAAAACTTTTGTGAAGAATTAATTTGGAAAACACACAGATGTGTGTTTTATTATTGTTAATATGCAATTCTTAATTGCTAGGTTGATGACAAGACTTCATATAAAAATTTGTGTGTGACACTTTGAAATGGTATTTGCATATGGTCTGATTAATTAATCTTCTTTGGGAATGAGTTTATGCAAATATACACCTGCCTTCCTCCTCTACAAAGGAAGTTAGGAAGCTGGATTTTGCAGTGGCATGTTAGTATTGCAAGGAAGCACTAACACAGTTCACACTGTATATCAAGACTGCAAAAGGCTGTTTTTTCTGAGTGTAAGCAAAATCAGTGCCATCTGCCTTGAAATCATGGGAAAGTTGGTTTTGGTCAAAACCATGCTTATCTTGATTTCTTATGAAGTGAGTCAGATATTCCTGTCAGAAATGAAACTTTTACATATTCAGAAATAGTTGGGAGAGGGCCTTCTTTCATCCCCTCCAAAATGACCTGTGGGAACAGTACAGAGGACATTGGAAGCTTGCCAAATAAAATAGAGCAGAACTACACCGGGCAATAAATTCAGACTTGTCACTTGTATTGATTTTCCTATAGACTAGATTTTCTGGGTCCTGGAAAGGTCTGCAATTATGGCCAGTCTGATGGGGATTTGGCAACCTGAATAAACTCCAGGCCTGTGTGTACAGTGACAATGACTTGTGACCTGTATTGCTCCTTAGACAAGGCGAGAGTTTATGCAACATTGCTGCAGTAGCAACAATTCACTCATATGCCAATTTTTGTGGCAAGCCATTTGAAATACAATAATTTGAGAATGAAGTGACTAACCTTCCTCTTTAATATATTCCAAACCTTTGTTTTCATCTTGCACTGAAATTGATACCTAGAATGAGTCATCTTAAACATCTGTTACAGGAGAGGCATTTGAAATTGTTTCTCAACTTGAAGAACTGGATTTATCATGGAACAGTAACATAGGTGGAAAACTATCACTCCTGACAAAAAAAAATCCAGAAAGGATGCAAGTTAAAACTTCTGAAAAGACTGTAACCTAATGACAAAAGATGGAGAATCCCTTGGTATGTGTATCGATCTAGCTGGACTGAGGGTGGCTTCACAGAGATACAACCTGTTCGACTTAGATCATGGCTGTATTGAGCTCAGTATTAGTAGAAAGTTAATTTATTTCAGGTTCTGCATTATAACAGTGTTGCATTTTAATGGACTTTCTTTCAAGGAAGAAAGTTGTTCTCCCTAATCACAGGAGGTATGGTTGAGAAGAAAAATAGCTAGATCTAATCCACAGTCTGGCTGCCTTGGTGGTCCAGGGTTGCTTGATCCTTTGAGACCCTGAGCAAATCATATATGCCAGGATTTCCAACACTGACTGCTTAAAATTAGGTAGTTAGCTGTGGGATGGGAAAGAAGGCCTGAGCAATGAGAATTTAGGCTGAGTCAGCAACCACTGACCATCCCTCCTCTCTTTCACCATAGCTTAATCCTGTGTCATCTTTTGATATGATTCTGTTTCAAAAGATACTTACTCCCTAAAGAGAAGCCTCTATGCTCTCATCTGCACTGTAGCAGATGGTCCTTTTGCAACATAAAGTCCTATATATTTTCATTATAATTTTTTCTTTCTCGTACTTCTGATTTTTATTCCCCTGTATTTTCCTAGCTATCCTTGTATTTTTTTCACCTTTATTTTGAGGCAGATTTTTTCAGTTGTTTTCTTTATTCCTATCCAATCTTTGTTTTGCTGTATTTTTAGGTAGAACAGGAACTTACTAAGTCTAAACCACACATATAGGCAAACCTACCTACCTCATCTTGTTTGCCATGGTGCTGTATTTTTCTAGGGTTCATCTGTATGTATTCCAGACAATTCCCAATTCTGTTCTTCTTTTCTTTTTTTTCCCAGCTGAAATTCTAAATGTGATCCCAAACCTTGAAGTATTAGATCTCTCTATCAACAAACTCATCAGCTGCAGGATGAAGGTTATTGCTCAGGCTCTGAAAAATGTGCCAGGCTTGAAGGAGTTAAACTTGCACATGTGTGGATTAAAGCAAGACAGCCTCCAGGGTTTAGGTTAGACTTTATGCTCAGAAAGACTTTCATTCTGAATAAATTGTACATCTGAAAACCATTTAAGAAAGGCAATGAGGTGGGATTTTGCTGATGGTTTGGCAGTATTAATGGGCAATCGTTATTTGCTGTTTGAGGATTGATAAAAGACTACAGAGACTTTCAGAAGGAGTAGCATTTATCTTCCCTGAGCTCAAGCATGTGAAAGTCAGTGGGGAGAGTCACCCTCCACACCATTTATCTGAGACAGATCTTAGGGTCGATTAGTGGCTCTGTGGACATGCTTCCTCTCTCCCCAGACAGAACTCAGACAAGGCCCAGACACTCTAGCTAACTTTTAACAAGCTAATCCGTCCTCTCAGGGGGAAATCCAAATTCACCATTATCACTTAATGAGTGTCCAGTGAAGCCAGATGAAATGGGCTTATTATGTCTCTCCCTAGTGGAGGTTTTATCCAGAAGACAAACCAACTGCCACTAATTAGCACATCCAGTAGTAATTTCAGCAAAATGCTGAGGATTGACTGGATCTGGGGATGAGCTGGCCTCACCTTCACCTGCTCTTTCAGAGAGGAATGGAGTTGCAGAGATGGGGAAGCTTTGTGGTATTGCTGTATGTCTCCTGTGATTATACACTGAAGCTTAGTCTAAGAGCTTTGCCTGCAATACCTTGTGCAAACTTTGACATTGAAGTAAATAAATAAATGCTAAAGCTGTGACCTGTGCTACTGTGGCAGCCGGTGACCAGGATGCTCCCTTTTCCATTTCAGACTCTGCCTTACAGCACCTTGCAGACCTAAGGAAATTAGACATATCATGTAACAAAGAGATTGGTGGTGGCTTTAAAGACTCAACAGCTCATTTGGCCAGCTTGAAAAATCTCGAAGTCCTTGATCTCCACCAGTGCTGTGTAGCAGAAGAGGACATGATCATTTTGTGTAAGAACGTATTGAGGAAATCCATTAAGAATCTAGGGTTTGACTTCTGAAAGCCCTCAAAGGTGTAAGAGATTCTGCCTAACCTAGTGAGCCAGTTAATTTTTCTGTGTGCATTATCACAATATCTTGACATTGTTTTTTTTACTCTTTAGAACAATAAAATCCCATGACTCAAAGCCTATATTGCCTACATCTTATTTTCCATGATAAAGAAGATAATTTGAAAAGCTACTGCTGAAGCACTGGGAAATACTATTAGTAATAGCAATCATAATTTATTTTTAATCTATTGACTAATAGAAAATAATAGCATTAATACAAAGGAGTTTCAGTTAGCAGCAAAGACATTTAGAAATAACCCCCATCTCATTTAATGTTAAATTCCCTACTTCACCTACAAAATTTCAAAGGAAGCTGTGTTCTGACAACCTTCCACACAGTATGTAATACCTAATTTCTTAAACATTCCTACTGAAAATAAAAAGGCTTTTTATGGAATAAAACATTACTCACCATAACTTTGTGTCAGAATTTGGCCTTGACTTTGGATTGATTTATAAAGAAGAGAAATTATGTCAAGCAAGTATACAACTACATATTTGGTTTGGATTGGAGACTGTCTAATAAATATTTCATGTTTTCACAGCCCAGGTGATACCTTTACTCTCCAGTCTTCAAGAGCTGAATTTATCCTCAAATAAAAATGTAGGCGTCTCATCAGGACCTCTTCTGGGCAGGCTCAGGTTTTTACCGAAGTTGAAGTCTGTGGCCATCAGCAATTGTGGTTTAGGTGAAGACTCGTTTTCATCACTAGGTAGGAATGTTTTTTTAAGGAGTGTCTATTCTCTGTGTATCCTTGTGAGATAAGTACTTCATTCTCCGCTGGCTGAACTCCAGAGATCATGGCTACATTATACCACAGGTCCCAGCTGAAAAAGCCTGTGATGAAACCAGTGCTTCATGGGACCCAGCTGCAAGGGAAGGCCATTGTGTGTCTTCCCCCATGATACCTGACTGGATGAAGTGCTTTTAGTCTTTTGTCTGATAGTGAGCTTTTGTATTACTTCCTAATTTGGGAAGAGAAAGGAAAACATGATTTTATATTATGCTGTAATTATAGTTTGATTGTAATACTGCATTTGCAGTTTAATGGGGTAAAGTTCTGACTGAAGGTTTTTCACCTCACTGCTGGTGAAAGTTGCAGCAGAAACTCTCTGGAATAGAGTTAAGGATGGGGCAGTGGAGGAACTGAAGCAATGGCTGCATTAGTAGAAAAGAGACTGCATAGCTATGAAGAAAAGTCCAGTCTAACATGGGACATGTAAATTCAGCCTCTTTTGCCTACTTACTGCAAATCCCAGTGGATTAGTGGCTACTGTACTTTTGATAGGTGTTCCATATGGCACATGAAATCTAAGTACCCCTAAGAGCGATCAGTTAGTTACCACAAAATGCACTTACATTTTGTACTGTTTACTAGTGACATTGAAACCTGTAGTAAAACTTGACTGCCTTCAGCAGAAGCAGTAGCAAGCTAAATTGGTCTGAGGTCCCTGCAGGAAAAGTACTATATTTATATCATTACAATTATGTAAGAGTGACATCATGGAAATTGGTGTTGTCAAAAGATACAGAGCATTTCACCTTGCATGGTGAGTTCACAGCAAGAATTTGCTGTCTTTAAATTGATATAAAATGGTTTAAAAACAAGCTGTTAAGTTAAATTGGCTTCAGTGGGACAAGGTCAAGCCAATAACATAAAGACAAGAAACCCCTCCACAGAGTTCTTATAGATTCTGTAGGCAGGCCCTTTTTATATTCTTTATTCTGACTTTTATTGGGATGAAATAAGTCATTCTTAGCACAAGTAGGCAGCCTGTTAGAAGCCTATTTACAGGTGAATTGTTGGTGAGTTGTCTATTGAAGCTGTGTTGTTTTCTCTCAGTAAGCAGAAGTTGCTGGTCTTAATCTTGTCAGCTGAGGCTGCCCTTCACCTTCCTGAACTGGAGATATTAGACCTTTCCTGGAATAAGTGCGTTGGTGGGAACCTAAAGCTGCTTTTGGGAGCACTAAAGCTTGCAATGGAGATTCAAGTGTTAAGACTGAGCAGCTGTAACTTGGTGGATGAAGATTTGGCACTTCTAAGTACCTATAACGTGGTATTTACTAGCAGTCACGGAGCCAGGGCATTTAGACCACAATTCAGAAGGGACTTGTTCTATGGGCTGAGCATGTTTTTGCATAAATCAAATGAAAAGATGGAAAATTAAGCAGTATTTTACCCAGAAAGGGTTTTCATTTTACTGAAGTCTGGCTGTCCTGTACATTCACAGTGCAAAATACAAAGAATCTTTTAGTAGTTTTAATACAAAAAGGCAGCAGTTGGAAAATGTAGGGTTTGCATCTGGTTTTTATATCAGATATTTAAACTGCCTCTGAGGAGTTTTATTTTGTTCAGTTGCTGGCTTTGTGTCCAGTAATTTATAGAAAATGTACATGCTCACAGGCAGTAATACGCGCACTATTAGCTCTCAGTCCATTAGGTGTGTTTCAGGATGTCACACTATTGTGGAAGAATCAAATCAGAAATACTTTTGCCCATCTCTTAGCAGCTGCTGAAAAATACTGGAAAATGGAAACCTGATGATGGGATCAATTCTGGGATCCCTTAAAAACCTATTTATTTTATAATCATCTTTGTGATTCTGTGGGCCTGACTCATGGGGTTTGAGTGTCTAAGACTGGCAATAGCTGCGTGGCAGTTATTAAGGCCCTGTAATCTGAAGGCTAGTGAGATGAAGCCTGAATATTTGTGACTTTATAAACACTACCCTTGATGGGTTTCTCCTTTGCCAATGTACATTAGGGATCCCAGTTCCCTTTAGGGTATATTGGGACCATTACCCTCCCACAGTGAGAAACGGCTGTTGTAATCACACAGCCTCATCTAGTTTTGCTTTCCTCTTTCTAAATCTTAGAATCATATAATGGTTTGGGTTTGAAGGGGCCTTAATGATCATCTGGTTCCACCCCTCCAGACACAGACAGGGACACCTTCCACTAGCAACTACAGCAAGTTGCTCAAAGCCCCATCCAACCTGGCCTTGAACACTTGCCCAGGCATGGGGCATCCAAAATGGCTGTGGGCAACCTGTTCCAGTATCTCACCCCCCTCACAGTAAAGAATTTCTCATGTCTAACCTAAATCTACCCTCTTTAAGTTTAAAAACAGTCCCTTTTGTCCTATCATACATGCCCTTGTAAGAAGTCCTTCTTCAGATTTCTTGTAGGCCCCCTTTAGGTATTGAAAGACTGTTATAAGGTCTCCCCTGAGCCAAACTCTCTCAGCCTGTCTCCATAGAAGAGCTACTACAGCTCTCTGAGCATCTTCATGGCTCTCCTCTGGACTCACTCCAACAGGTCCATGTTCCTCTTGTGTTGGGGGCTCCACAGCTGAACACAGTACTCTGGGGGGTGTCTCATGAGAGTTGAGTAGAGTGGGAAAATCCCCTCCATCAACATGGTGGTCCTGCTGCTGGTGATGCAGCCCAGCATATGGTTGGCTTCCTGGCCTGCAAGTACACACTGCTGGGTCATGTTGAGCTTCTCATTAACCAACACCCCCAAGTCCCTCTCCTCAGGGCTGCTCTTGATCCATCTCTGCCCAGCCTGTAGTTGTCTCCCTGTAAAGCCTGTCTGCCTATTTTAATTAGCACTGCCTACAGTTTCTATCCAACTGACTCAAAGGTTTTCAGGTTGTCATGCAATTTTAACCCTATACTTCTGTTCCTTTTGAATTGCCTGTGTTTTAAATGTTGTACACTCCTTCAGCTGTGATAAAACAGTTTTTCTGATATCAACAGCATGTGATTTAATGTTGCTGAGGAGTTGAATCTTGCTGTTTGCTGAAAAGTCTTAAATAATATGGTATTAAAATACTACTATTCTTACTTACAAGCTTTTAAGGCAATTGTGAGGATGTATTAGTTGTGTTTGTGCCTGTAATTTCTTGCAGCATTGCTGACGCAGGATGGTCACCTAGCCAGATTACAGAAGCTGGATTTGAGTTATAATAACAACGTATCTGACGAAGGATAGGTCATATTCTGTTGAGGCTTAACAGTATTCAACGAACTCTCAGAGCTGGATGTCAGTCTTCGCCCATTGTCCTGCCGTGACTGTGGGATGTGGTTCAGTGAGTTGTTAGCAGCACTGACAAAGCTACCTGCCTTGGCAGAGCTGGGGACGCAAAGATGGGTCCTTTCAGAATTACAACGGGAACAACTGGAAAGCTTTAATCAAGACAACAAAAGAAACATTCATTTTAACTGTTGATGGAGGTTGAAGGCTTCTGGAAGGCCTTTCACAAGCAGCACATGAACCAAGTATTATGTGTCTCTGACTTAGCAGACATCCCAGGTTTTAGTAATCTCGTCTCATAAGAACTACTGGAATAGTTCCACAATTACAAAAAACTCATTTAACCTTCCGCATGCACAGATCATTCCATTTAATAACATACTCTCTCAGATTCTCTGGGCCATGCTCACACTACTATATATGCTTAATCTTTGTGTTGTGAATACTGCAGTGACTACTGTCAAATGAGCAACAATGATTTCAGATGGACACACTGCAGGTTTGCCAAGAGCAGGAAGTGGCTGGGGTGTTTGCTAATGCAGGTGGCTGGGCAGTGTGAATGTGGCCTCATTTATGTAAGAAAAATGTCTGGAAATACTTGAAACCTCTATGTTTTAAATTTTAGTCTCTTCTCCCCCAAAACTTTTGCCTCTTTGTGAATCTATAAAATTGTGAGATTTGGACAGCATCCCAACAATTCAGGATTATGTATTAGTCCAGTAAGGAAAATACATAAGGAGCTGATCTTCCTCTGCTCAGCCCTTGATGCCATCTCATAGTGTAGATGAGTCCTGTGTACAGAATCAACATAAAATCAAGTTGATTGGTGTCTTTGCAGGTCTCAGGGACAAGGGAAATGCTGTGGTAGGTTAAGTAAGAGAGATGTCCTGCTACCTTAGCAAGGAAGTTTGTATACAGAGCAATCCAAAAGCATTCTGGGTAAGGCTATGCAAAGACTTCAGGAAACTTCAGAGATGCTCCTTCTCATCCTGAGCTGTTTCAGACTGCACTTTCTGTACAGACCCTTTTATGACATGCAGCACAAAAAAAAAAAAAAAAAAAACAAAACAAAAACCAAACCAAACCCAACAACAACAAAAAAACAAACTTCCAGATATAAGAGTCTGATCTACAGCATATGAAAGCCAGTGGGAGTTCCCACAGTGCCTTCATGCTTCCCACATTCAGGATTAATCCATTAACCTTCAGAACACCTTGTGACATAGACAATGTTCTTATACTTACCCTAAAGATGAAGGAAATACGCAAAGTCTATTACTGAAAGCCACAGGGCATCTTCTAGCTAAGAGCAGAGCGCCCTGCTCTGTGACCAAGAACTGTCAGAAAAAGCACCAACTTGGGATGTGTAAGTGGCTCCTCCTTTTTTTTTATTTGATAATTTATTTGGCGTTTTACTGTATTTGCTTAAACAGAGACAAACTCTGGCACAGTCACTCATGTCATGGCGCATGTTAACCCACAGGTGAGCTCAAAGACTGCAGTGGGATTATTCATTGGAAAGGTATTTTAGGCAGTAAAGATATAAGATCTGCCCACTGGGTGAGGAGTCTTAGAGAAATCCCAAGGCAGCTTGAGGGATAAAGTACTGCTGAATTAGCTCTGAGTATATCTACATGCTGCAGCGATCTTGTGAAGGAGAGGCACAAAGTTGCACTTTCCTAACTTGCTAGGACCCCTCTCATGCAGATGTACATCAATATTCAGTCTGGACGACCCTTCTGACATCAACTTCTGGCTGGTCGGGGTTATAACCAGCAGCTGACCATGCTGTGATGATACCTGTTGATTGTTTAAGCCATAATTTCGTGTGAGGGTCTCCACGGACTTCCTGGTTCTGGTTTCAGTTCTACATGAAAAGTGTGCTTGGCTCCCGCAGCTCTCAGAAACATGAGGTGAACTGGAATATCTTGGTCAGAGGCAGCAGGGAATTGCTGCAGTATGGGATCAGTTATTTTCTACAGAGATCCTCAACTTCTGAAATAAAGCAAAGAGCCCCAGTTTCTGTCAATCAGAAACTTAAGCCAGGAGAGTTACTCTAATGTGGAAGTACCATCGTTTCTGTTTAACAGCAGGACACCAGCCTCTTTCCTTGATCACTTGCTTTTCTATGCCTTTCCTTTTCTATACCTTTCCTCCCCAAATCTGCCTTTAGGCCAACTGGGAAATTGATGCTTTACCTGCTCTGTGAGAATCTCTGAATCACGGCTTTCCCACTTGAACCTCTCTCTCTAATTCAGTAAAGCAGCTGACCCATGTTTAATATCTGAGATTTCTTGTAATCTTACTGACTGGACTTCAGCATTGGGGTTTCTTGCTGTGACATAGTTGGGTCCTCATTCTCAGCTCCAAAGCACAATATGGACTGTTCACAACCTCACCACTTGCTGTTCATGATCCCTTTCTCAGTCCTTTGCCTTCTCATTAGTCTGTCATATCTACTGTGCCATTAAAAAGGTTTTATTAAAGCACTTCTATTAAATGTCCTGTCTATCTGCCAGTCTTCCTGGAAATCTCTTTCTTCCCATGATTTCCTCCTCCGCAGCCTCAAAATCCTTCTTCTCTTTCTCTTTGCCTTCACTTAGGATGAAAAAATTTTGTAAGACACCTCCAAACAATCAAACCAGCATCAGTTACCTAATAAAATGGAAAATCAAAACTGAACCATCCCACTTTTCTGCACGCCCAGCTCTCCCCTGCCAGCAGGCGTGTTAATGATATTTCAGTATCCACTGATTCAAGAACCAAACAGAAATAAGGTCCATATCCTGGGTGCAGCATTTAGAGAGCACTACCTGGAGGTGGCGCTCTAGGAAGAGCTGGGTCTCAGCCTTCCTTCACCACCTCGTTCCAGATGGCAGCACCTTCTCTAGGGCAACACCTTCAAGGGGAGGGACAGCAGGACTGCAGCTCTGACCACCAGTTAAACTGAATAAAGAGGTCTGCTCCCACCCACTTGTGCATTTTAAATCACGGTGGCGGATCCCGGTGCTTCTCTGTGCTTTATGTATGCTGCAAATGAAATTCTGGAGGGGTTTAAGGAGTCATCGAGCAATACAGAATAAAAACCAGAAAAGGACATCAGATGTGTAGGCCAAACAGCTGTAAAGTGCTGTGGGAAGACATGGCTGCATATAAATTTGGCATACTAGAATTTAATAAGGGGTATTTGTCATGGTTATTTTGAATAACAAAGGCGTTATGACATGGCAGGACCCAGAATCATTGCTGAATATTGCATTCTGCAGACTCCCTGCTTTAAAATAAGCCTGTTGTACATGGGTGTTTTACAAACTGTCACCAAGCTACCTCAGAGATGAGCTGTGACACTAAGGATTTGACAGCTTGCAGTCATTCAAAATACTGTTAACTAAAGACTGTCAAAACATCAGATAAGAGTTTTGCAGAAGTGTAGGGATACTCTCAAAACAGCTTTTTACACCTCAGTTAAGACAGGATGAAAAGGCAGGTTCCAGTAGAAATGCATGTGTTCTGCCTGCCTGGAATCATCCTCCGTATTTCCAAACAAATCAAATGAACTGCAAATGTTAGTGGTGTTAAAGGCATTAATAATACTACATCCATTTTTAAATTGCCATCTGCTCTGTTTCAGTTTGTGGTAGAATCACAGAATGGTTTGGGTTGGAAGGGACCTTAAAGACAGTCCCGCTCCAACCCCCCTGCCACAGGCAGGGACACCTTCCACTAGACCAGGTTGCTCAAAACCTCCTCCAACCTGGTTTTGAACACTTCCAGGGATGGCAGCCACAACTTCTCTGGGCAACCTGTGCCAGTGCCTCACTACCTTCACAGTATTGAGTCTAAGCAAATGCAGTTCTTACTTTCCAGTGTACACAAAAAAAAAAATAAAGACTCAAAACAATGGAAGCAGGCTAGCCAATTGGGATTTCATCTTTGTAATTCAACACAAAGGTCAGTGTTTCCACATTCTTGCTTTCTTCTCCCTGCCTGAATACAGTGATGAATAACCCAGGTTCAGGTGCATACCGGGTGGTACATGCCTTCTCACTGTAGTAAAGAAAGATGGCACACAGCTGTAATGAAGAACTTAGAATTTGCAAAAGGGAGGTATCAATAAAATATAAATTAAAACAAAGGACCAAACAACTCCTGTATCTGATTGTCATCCAGGGCCAATACTTCCACGTTTTTCATAGTGCATATTCCTTTAGGAATACCATCAAGGGAGTTGTCATTTATATAAACACAGAAAGGGACAAGCAGCAGCAGATCTGGTGGGAACTTCTTCAGGCTGCAAGCAGTTTGAGCAGTCTCATTTCAGTGAGATTCTTCAAACCTGGGGGAAGCTTGTGCAGGAGATTATGAGACAGATCCAGCATAGCAAGCTTCTGGCAGTGCTGCAGTGAAGGAGGAATGGGGGTAAGTTATTAAAAGCTAAAAGTGGCTTAACTGGGTTTGTCAAAAAGCCTCCCTCTTCTGTGATGACACTGATTATATTTTGTACTTTAGATCTATTATTTCTGAATTAGCAATATGACAAAGCTCCTTGGGAAAACTTTCAAATCTTTTTCTGGAGGTAAATTTCCTTGATTTTTTTTTTTTTTTAGGTTAACTCTTTCTTTAGGCAGACACTTGAGATGATTGTCAGAAGGCCAAGCAGTTCAATGTGATAGAGGTATCCACAGATCTGCACTGGAATTTCATGACAGTTTGCTTTGTTAAGCCTGAGCTGACAAAGGGACTACAGCTTGCTGCAAACTACAAGAGAGGGGATTGTTACATCTAAGCTCAGAGGAGATTTCATCTCCCCCAGTTCTTTGCATATATCTTGTATGTGATCCTGATCCAAGTAGGGGACCTTCATATGCCTCAGGCAATTTATGTCTCTGGGGATGCTTACAATCAGGTTCTACCCTGTATGCGGCTCTTCCAGATATTCTAGACTCAAGACCCCTGGCAAGACTGTTCAGTTACTTGTTGGATAAATCATTATGAAAAATATCCTCTGTGTGACACGTGTGGGAGAAAGAGCTTCATTCTCTGGCGCTTTATTCAGTGGTATTTCTTGTGTATCATACTCAAAACCAACAGAATCAGCTTTGGGCCAGTGACTGCCCCCTGCACTGGCCTCTTGGCTCTACTGAGACTCAGCCATCTCTGCTCTGATTCGGAGAAAACTCCAGGAACAAACTCGCCCACAGAGTTTCAAGTTGACAAGCAGGTATTCTTTATTGCGGCGCCGGGAGATAGCTCCTCCTAACGTGCGTGCCCATATACAGGATACAGGCTATCCTTATATATGAGGCTACACATGAATTACATCATTTTACAGAAAGTTTCCCACATGCATACAAAAAATGTGATGGTGGTCTTTAAGGGTTGTTTACTTCTCCCAACAATCTTCTGGCAGTCTTTGCAGCACCAGCTTGATTAACATTACAGGCATAGCAATCGTCCTGTCCTTCTACTCATCATTTAAGTTTAACTGCTCCCATCCTGGACATCTGCTAGTCCCGGGACACTCCCCAGTAGATGTTTACACCAGTTTAGTGGGTTCACGAACACCACAAACACAGCAATCATCCTGTCCTTCTACTTATCAGTTACTTTAACTGTGCCCATCCTGGATATCTGCTAGTCCCAGATTCTCCCCATCCCCAGGTCCGGTTTTTCTATTCTGCTTTTCATACACTTTTTGTACTAAGGTCCTAAGGACCTGAAACTATGTCAACTACCTTCAAGCACCGCAGTTATTTTCCATTACAAAGCCATCAAACTTAATGTTACTTGGAACTGACTACATTGTGCTTTTGTGCCCCCTTGTCTCAGCTCCGTATTTCTAATTCCAGAAGATTAAAACGATGAAAAATCACCAGTACTCAGGGACCTTCCTGTGCTAAGTTAAGTACTGACAGAATTCAACATTTAGGGACTGGTTCTAGTCTCAAGCTGTGCCCCTGCAATAAGCTATTTGTGTTCTTTGATCAAATCTCGCAGTACATACAGCAGGACCGTATCTTTGAATCCATTCATGTGAGGAATGTAGGAAATGTCCTCAAAGACTGAGGTCAGACTCAACAGCAAAGCAGAAATCCATTAAACGTTTTCGCAAAAACAGGTGCCCCAGTGAGGAGAGCTCACCCTGCTTACAGCCTTCTTTTAATCCCTACTCCGAACCGCAAAGTCCCTCCCTTGTTTCCCTGCTGGTTAGGTACTCAGAGGTTTACAGCCTTATCCGAAGCGCCTAAGTTACTAACGTGAAGTCCTGCCCCTGTTTACATTTCCCACTACTCTAGTTCAGGCGGCTCTTCTTACTTACACGTGTGCTCTTACGGTATAGTGGCCTACTTCCTCCGTCCCTCCCCATCCCTCCCCCCTTGAGCTTGGTTTCAAGTATCAAACCTTGTTCTAGCCCTTTTATCGCTCTGACTACAATGAGTTTCGGCTGAAATTTCCCGTCTATGTGCCAGCTTCCCCTCTGTCTTTTATTAGCACGCAAGCTATACTTAAAAGGCTGTAAAAGCAACACAGGGGTATTTCTTACAAGTGCATTCGGAAGTGTCCCAACAGCCAAATTCAGAGGGTGAACTTGTGAAGTCAAGGGAGCTGGATAAAGCAATCTCCTTGTGTCTTGAAGGGCCCTATTTACAAACCCTGACATTTCTTCAGCTATGCTGATGGTAAAACTGGGAGAGTCCTGCTGGAGAAAGGTGGCACCTTCTTCTGTGACAGTGGTTTCTGAGCCAGAGAGATGCCAGTGAATCTGGTATTTGACAATCCTCAAAGTTGTACTGTTGCCAGTAGCAAAAGAGCAAGGGGTGGGAAGGGAGAGACCCGATGTCTGGATAGAAGAAATCTGTCGCTGGCATTTAAGGAATGATAGGAGAAAATAGAGGTCAAGAGGTAGCTGACAGTCATCTCCTACTAAATACCCTTTTCTCTCCTGCTGTAGCCATTCTGGGATGACATCATGTTTTCAGAGATGAATGGTTTCCAGGTGCCACCAAGATGAGAGGAAGAACTGAGCAACCACCATGGGGGAGACGCATGCTGGGCTTCCCAGTCCAATTCAGATGTTGCACAAGGGTATTTTCTTCTTTATTGCCTCCAAGTTCAGTACTTGGGAGTGAGCCCCAGACGCTGTGGGACAGGAGAGTGTGCGATCCTAGCTTACTCGCTGCTGCGTACAAAGGCAATAGTGAAGCCATTTGGTGGAAAGGACCAGCACAGACACCTTTGAAGTAACTGCTAACCCATGCAACCACGGAAACTTTTGCAAAGCCTCCTTGGAGACTGAGGGCAGACGGCTGAGTAAATACTCTGGGGGTGAGCTGATGAAGCACCCCTCCATACAGGGGTCGGGCACCACGCATGCGGCCACTCTCCACAGTGAGGAGGGGAAGGGTGGCGGTGGGGCGTCATGCCAGGGCCATGGGCTGAGTCTGGCTGCCTTTGCCAGCTCCCTCCTGGAGGGCCTGTCACACCCTCCTTGGAAACAGGCTTCATTACCAACCGTTGTTAAGGTTGGGGCAGCCTGGCTCGCCCGCGGGCTGGCGCAGGGAGAGGGCGCCGGTGTGAATCGCTCAGGTAGGCCTGCGGAGGTCGGGGCTCGCCGCTTTTAGAGGGAGCAAAGGTCCTGCCTGTATGAATACTAATTCTGTTAGCTCAGGTTCCTTGGGATGGCTTCAGGAACACATCCACAAATCCACATTTTTCCCGATTCTTTTCTTGTCTGTTTGTATCTGTTATTCATGTGCTGCATACCGGCAGTTGTAACCCTTTTCAGACCAAGCCCAGTTTTATTGTTATGCAAAGCGCAGCACGACAGCGCTTGGGTCTATGGTGATGTTGCTAGGCTGCAATAACGATGCAATAACGCTTTGTTTTGTTTTCCAGCAGGTCATGTCAGTTTGCCCAGATCTTCACCAGCACTATGTGCAGGTCTGCCAAAACTTGGGCCAACCTGAAAACCCTTTCATTGCTCATGTGCTTCGAGAAGCTGATAAAAATGATGAAATGTAAGGAAATAACGAACGATGTGTTTCAGATGCTTCTGAAAGTCTTAAGATAGCAGGACAAGGAGTTGAACAGTGCGAAAGTTCATGCAGTTTCAGGCTGAAACACAAATCATATTTAGCATTTACTGCTGAAGTTCTGGTTTGACTCATCTTGACATCATCTTGGCAGAAGTTTGTAGCTATATATCCCTTCTGGGCAGCTTTACAAGCAGTGAAATCAAAAAAGTGAAAAATGTACAGGATGGTGCCTTTGTGTCCCTTAAAAAAGCCAAACCCAAATTCTAACTCCCTTCCTTTTGTCTCCTGTTTAAAAAAGCCTCAGCTGCATACAGTTAGCTTCCCTAAAATGTCTCTGAATCCTGCCAAGTTATTAACTACCCAAATTCTCTCTCATTATGTGTCTAGATAGGGCTTCCTCCCATGTATGCTCCTGGGGTCAAAGTTAATTATCCTTTCTAGAGAAAACCTGAGAAAATACAGCATGGTGAAATGGGTTGTGTTAGGTTTTGATCTTGAGGGCAGGTTAGGGTAAATAAATGAAAAGGAACAAGAAAATAGGAGATAATGAGGTAATCTCCAGGATAGTCTATATTTCCATCTGCCTTCCCCTCATCTTGCTTCTTCCTGCTTTTTGTGCATGTGTGCTAAGCAGCTGTGCAGTGTCCAGATTATCAGAAAGGACAGTGCTGAAGTACAGTTTGAATCACATTGTCTGCCATGGCATTACCAAAGGTCACAGCAGCAGCTAACTGCATGAAACACATCAGCGAGGGCAAGCCTGGATACACTTCCTATCTGGAGAGAGAATTCATTTATCTGTAGCATTTTACTTCTCCCCATGTGCTTACATTTTTATGTTTCAGCATATGGACAAAAGGGTTCACATTAAAAATAGCTGGAAATAGTCATCTAGTGCCTGTGCAGAGAGTTACAGATGACAATCTTCAAGTTCTTGTCTCTGTCTTACGTACGGCTGCATTTGTCACAGGTAAGCTTTTTTTAATATACATTTAAACATTGCTGTGTTAATATAAGAAAACTTAAGCAGGGTTTGTTTTGGTTTCTTTTTCAGAGATCAGTTCATTGTTGATATGCATCTGTCACATTCTTCGTTCATCTTTTTCAGGTTTGGATCTTAGGTATAATGTATTGACTGATGCTGGAGCAAAGACCATGGCAACATTCCTCCAGGTGCCACAGTGATGTTTCTCTTTCAGCAACTTGTAATTTATTTGTCAGTGATAATATTTGTATGTGCTGTATTGGAGACAAGAGTGCAATTGTTTGGCAAAATTTCAGTACTTTTTACTTTCACATCCAAATCCATCCTACTAAAATCTCAGACTGTATTCTCTGGGAAGATCTTTCATTTCTAGTAGAACACCCTTGGACATCTGGCTAAGGTGTCCAAAAGAAAGAACGGTTGAATAAATTGTGGGGCTTTCAGGCTTACCGTTCAGTTTAACGAAGGAGGTCATGGAAGTGTCAAATGTCCCAGGGCGTTTGTTTTAGATACTTATCACCTCTGTTAGACTTTTTGTAGGTCTAAACATAGGAAACTTTAATGCTGCCTTTTTGTCATTATAAGCACTGGAATAGAGATGGAAAATGGTGAGTTACCACTTGGTGCCTGTGTTCCTGGAGCTCAGGGTGTGCCATGAGGTTTGCAAAGTGCCTGAAGGTCTGCATCTGAGCTTGACCACCTGCCTCGTTTGGTCATGCTGAGCACTTGGGTTCGCAAGTGGTTTCTGTAAGCACCCTGAGGACATGTTTTTACGTGCTGCATGTTTTTCTGCCTTTTCCTCATCATCTGACACACTGGCGTTCTTTAACTACTTCTCCAAATCAAGGGCTGTCTGAAATGCAGTAAAGGTCAGAGGTTTTAAGTACAAGTGTGATGCATATCCTCTTTGAAAACTGCAGGCTTGCTCTGGAAAGGAGTCTGATTGCTTTCTGATTTGTTTGTTCCTCAGGAAAGCTCCTCTCTGAGGTACCTGAACCTGATGTTTAATAATATTGGCACAAGTGGAGCAGAGCTGATAGCAAAAGCGCTCCATGTGAGTATTTGCCTGGCAGATTTAAACAATGGTATCTCGTTTGGTATTTTTGCTTTTGAGGAACTGTACTAGCTGTCCTGCCAACATCAGAGCTGGCTGAAGGGGCCCTCTCTCTTCGGTCCATTCAGTGGTTTACTGTATCACAGGGACTGCTTGTTTTCTCAAAGCAAACTTCAGAAATCAGGTTTCACACAAGAAAACGTTGTACTGTGCTGCCATTAACACTTAATTATCACAACTATCACAGCTGGATTTTTCCAAGTGAAAAATGCTCTGCTGTGGGATATGCAGTGCCATCAATTTCTTCTTTTAAAAGAAAAGAATTGTATTATTTTTACCTGTACCTCGATGTCAGTATTTGTCTGGATTCAAGATGTCTCAGACATGTTTTCAAAACTCTGGCTCGCAGCAGAATCATAAAAAAAAGTCTGTTATTTTTAATGTGGCTTCCCAAGGAAATGAGGCTTGTGTGCATGATTTGTAGTGTTTGTGAAATGAGACTCATGTGAGCTCGCTCTTCCTCCTTCACAGTCTTTGGATTCTGAACCGATTTCAGCTAAATTTGACAGGCCCCCAGAGCACTAAGGTTGTACAGTAGATCATACCGGGCTTGCAAGCAGCCACCAAAGCACTAAGGTTGTACAGTAGATCATTCTGGGCTTGCAAGCAGCCCCCAAAGCTCTTTGTACAGCCCCAGCAGCATTTGCTGGGTTTGCTGAGCAGGCAGATGGCAGGACCCCTGGGCTGCATGGGTTCCTGCTGCCATTGGGCCAGGCAGGGAAGTCTGGGGGTGAAGGTAGGTTGTTATTGAGGGAGGGAGAGGGAAGAAGATGGCTGGAGTGAGGTACTGCATCAGGTGAAGGTGTGCTGGGGACATGTGGAAGACCTCAAACCTGTATGAAACTGGGCTTCATTAGTTCTGCTGCTAACAGAACTACTTGGTTTGTAATCTCTTCCTCAACTGTGATCTCTGGTAATTAGTGATTATAAAGGAAATAAAAATATGAAGCTACTCTGCATTTCATTTTGGGCTTTAACAGTTGAATAGCTGTTTTATATCCATTGAAATTCTATGGAGGGTGAGGGGAAAGATGCTGACTTTTCTAGACCTCTGATCAGAACTTTATATTGCCAGTGATGCCTCCACTCCTGCAAAGACTTACACATTGGTTTGACTCTACTAAGTAGTCCTACTGAAGGTGACCGGCTTCACTGAGCTTCGACTGGTCGTGTGCTTTAAAAGCCGATGAAAAATAAAGCAAACTATATTCTTGCTTAAAACACTTACTAGATTTAAATCAGTTTTGTTATAATTTACATTTCAGATGCCAATTCAGGCAGATTTATTTAGGCAGGATTATTTTTGTGCGTGTGAGATTTGTCGACTTGGGAGAAACAAAAGTTCTCAAATATTTGAGTTTTGCTTCCAGACTCTCATGCATTTCATTCCACTGAGGAAAGCCTGAGCCAACAGCTTAGTCAGTGTTATCACTTAAACACGATTCTTCTGGAGGGTTGTTTTGTCTTTGTGTGACAGCCAGCAGGATTCACAGGGGAAAGGACAGTGTTGTTTTTCAGGCCGCTTCAAAGGCATTGATTTTTTTGTCTCCTATTTTTATTTTGTTTAGGGGAATGAAACTCTTCTGCATATGAGAATGACTGGGAACAAAATAGGAGAGAAAGGTGGGATGTTCTTTGCTTCAATGCTACAAATTAATTCAACCTTGGAGAAGTTGGATCTTGGAGACTGTGATATAGTGAGTAACCCAGTGAAATAATCAGCAATGACCTAAGTCTTTCAAGGATATTACAAAGGTTCTGCACTACTTAATTAGGGGAAAATGCCATCTGTTGACATTGATTTTACATTTTGTGGTAGCAGTATATAATATTGCAGTGTGTACTTGGACAAGCATGTTGCATACACCTGAGAAGTCACAACTGATGATGTGTATGAGCCACTATGTCCCTGGGAATTCAACTGCTTGGCTTTCACATTTTCTGAGATTTGTTTCTGCTGTTCATTTTTGTTGTGCTGCCTAAGTCCTGTGTAAGTCATGTTGAAGGAAGGACTTCTTATTCCCTGGAGGCTCTTTTCCTTCTGAAGTATCCAGTGCACCTGAAAGTAGCCCAGTCCCATAGCTCTGTTGCTCCTATCAGGCTTCAGTCCCTAAAGGACATAAGCACAACAGTGCTGAATTGAGCAGAAAGGCTGCTCAAAATGAGCCTGATTTGATCCTAAATAACCTGGTGTCTCCTGGAGTCATGAGCAGGGAGACCGTGAGGATAGGAATGCCTCCATGGACTAAAAGGGTGCTTCCTACTCTAGCCAGTATAAAAACCTGTGGATAGCTTTTAAATCCTATATTCGTTTCCTGGAATTGCAGAATTTGCTCCTAAACTAGAAAGGGGAATACCTCAGGAAGTGTGCAGGGTGTTACAAATACATAAACAAGGGAAGTGTAGCCAGTGTAGGATTTATTTGAAAGCTTAATGTGTTTATGCTTGGTAGGGAGTTCGTAGAGAGTTGGTTTAGAATGAAGGGGCTTTGGGTGCAGACCAGCCTAACTGGAAAATAGCACAAATATAAATCAGTGAGCAAACTAGAAGGAAATAAAAAAAATCCAAATTGGCCTGTATTCTAGACTGTATTCTTTGTACCACATTATTCACATTTAGTGTGAATTTACCTAGTAGATAAATGTTAGCTAAGACTTTTATCATAGACTTCAGGGAAAACACACAAGCTGGTTTTGCTTCATAAATTAGGAAAACCAAAATAGAGGATCAATTAAATGGATGAGTATCTTTGAGATGCATTATTCTTGGTTTTTATTTTCCGAGTTGCCAAATTTCCTAGTCATTTGTACTACTGAGATGAATTCCACTCTATTATTCCACGGGGAGCTGGCACTGGTATTATCAGAAAATACATTGTGTGTCTGTAAGCACTTGCCAGCTGCATTTGTATCTCTCCAGAGTGCATGGGGGCAGAAATAACAGTATTTCTAATCTGAGCCCATTTGATGTTTTTGATCTTCTGACAATCAATTCTAGGAAGTTGCGGTAATTTGTTAGCTTGATTTATACATCAAATAGGTTTTTTTCTAAAGAGTTTATTTTTATTTCCAGGGTGTGCAATGTCTAATAGCAACAGCATCAGCCCTGAATCAGAACAAATCAGTCAAGGCAATAAACCTAAATCGTCCTTTACTGTTCAGCCAAGAGGTATGTAAGCAGACTGTAGTTTTAGCTGAGGGAAGCATAGTAAAGTCAGTACTTATGCCTTTATGTACATCTGAACTGCATGGCTCTCTGTGTTTCCTTACAAAGTGAAGTAAATTGTTGCAGAAATACTCTTTCTCTCTTTCTGTGCCAAGTTTTGTGCCATCACAGGCTGCCGTGGTTTAACTAGAAGGTTAATTGTTTAAAAATTGCTTTCTTGGTACATACACTTTTGTTAAATCATAAGCTAATGGAAAGGGCTTGATATTGGAGAACCAAGTATTCCTTCTGCTGTTACAGTGTGGAGAGTTTCATGCATAGTTCAGCAAATGGGGAGAAATGGTGTTCAGCAGGAAATGAGAGGAAGAACAAAAGACTGCTATTTATCTCAGCAGTGCAATACCCGCAGCTTAAAGAAGAAAGGCACGCTTTAACAATATGCCATAATCACTGGAATGTGTGGTTGTTTTACTGCGTGAACTTGAAGCACAAATTTAACAAATGAACGCACCTCATCAATGTAAACCCTACTATGAATTTGTTACCCAAAAGGAAGACGCAATCCTTCCGGAACAATCAAGCGCTGAAAAGAGAATCTACAAGTACAGATACACAGAGCTGTGGGGCTTTTGCTTGCAGGCATGCAGCTTCTGCACCTTGCTTTTCCTGCTGAAGTCTTGGCTGTAAAGCTGCTTGTAGCGGTGGTTTCACCAGACTGGCAGCAATTCTCGGGTGTCTGTGCTATGGACAGTATTTTCCTGCTGGCAGGATAATGAAATTAAACTGTTGTGAAGGCCAGATCTTCCTAAATTCCCACAGTTTAAGCAGATTTTAGTTGTTTCTTTTCTACTAAGACAGGGCTTGATCTACCTAACCCCAGTTTTAGAAGTCAATTTAAAATACTGCTATTGAAAATAAATACCAGTAAGGGCACGGTCTGTACCTGTGAGATTCTACTAGCCACTGTTCCTACCTTCAACTTTCTAATTTTCTGAGGCCTCTAGGTTGTTCCCTCATTTTTGGCTCTAAGTATTCACTCATTATTTTCTTATCAAAACTTCAAAATGAACTGAGTCTTACAATGACAGAAGGTATATTTTTTCCTGTAGCAACCCTATTTCTTTTGATGAAATAATAGACTAGCATCATAACAAAGTACTTTTAATGTTAGTGAGGACTAACTCAAACATTCAGTTTAAGAGCAATGACTGGAAGGAAAACTAATTAGACATAATGATTCAAACACTGATGCTTTTGGTATCTGCAGGGATGTACATAGCACTATCAATGTGCATATATCTTTCCAGTATTTTATTTATTTATTTCAGTATAATCCTTATATATTGTTTCCCAGCTATTTTTAATACAATACACAACAATAGAACATTACTGATGACCAAACCGACAGGCTGAGAGAGTTGGGCTTGTTCAGAGAATAGAAATCTTGGGGGAAACCTTACAACAGCCTTCCAGTTCCTAAAGGGAACTTACGAAGAAATCTGGAGAAGGGCTTTTTACAAGGCATATAGGAATATGACAGTTGGAGCTGGCTTTAAACTGACAGAGGGGAGATTTAGATATTCAGAAGTTCTTCACTGTAAGAGTGCTGAGTCACTGGCACAGGCTGCCCAGAGAAGCTGTGGCTGCCCCATCCCTGGCAGTGTTCAAGGCCAGGTTGGACAGAGCTTGGAAAAACCTGTTGCAGTGGAAGGTGTCCCTGCCCATGGCAGGGGGGATGGAACTGGATGAGCTTTAAGGTTGCTTCCAACCATTCTATGATTCTATGAAATCTTTCTGGTGGTTGTGAATCTCCCTTTTACTGAAACAAGACTATATTTTTTTCTTAAAGTATAGCTTAATAAGACTCAGTGTATGTTCTTAGGAAGAGACCACAGTTCATCTAGCTCTGATGTTGAAAAATAACTCTTCTCTTGTGGAACTACACTTGTGCAAGCATGGAATGAAAAACTTTGGTGTGGAGAGACTGTGTGAGGCTTTGTATGAAAACTCCAGCGTGAGATACCTTAATCTTGCCTGGTAAGAGTTTTTAAGTGACACAGCCCTGACTAACATTAGAAACTCATTTTCTTACCACCTTTTTAAGAAAAAATGTGTGCATCTCTCTCTTTCAGTAATAAAATAACCAGTGACGGTGTAAAATTTCTGGGAAAACTACTAAAATGGAACCAGACCCTGCAAATCCTAGATCTTAATGCAAACCAAATAGAAGATGATGGAGCCGTCTACCTGAGTGAGGCCTTGGCTTTGTACAACAGGACTCTTCAGGCGTTAGTATTTACACAGTTTCCCCAGAATCTGCAGGTGTAAGGAACTTGGGCTTTGCAGTGTCTGAGCTGACATCAAAACTGTGTGCTTTGATGTTGATCAAAATGGAAAAGTCAGGAAGTTCTGAACTTTTTGGTCCGTTTTTCCTTCTTGGGGTGAAAAAAACGTGATGGATTGGGTAGGATTGTTTTGCTAAGCATAGGTTTTTCCTCCTATGAGAGGTGCCCTGAGACCTGTGCTGGAAGTGAGCCACAGGTCCTCTTAGAGCCCTGCAGCTGGAGGCCAGGCCCGAGATACTAATGTATTTTGTGCAGTACAAGAAGCCTGTGTTTGGTAACTGAATGAGCTAAAGGAGTAAAACACAAGGCCAAGACATGCCGTTCAGCCCCACATGCTAACACCTTGTGTTTACATTCCTGCACTTCCAGGATTGCTCTCTACTCACTTTATCTTTCCGTGTACTTTTTTTTTTTTATATCTTGTATCCACTGCTGTGTGGCCTGACATACACCTTTTCTTCTCTTTAGGGCTTTTTGGGGCTGATGTTTGGCTCAGCTTTGTAGTAGTTCATCTTATATGTGATTCACAGTTTTTACAGTTGTTCTGAGGGACGTGTGGCGGGGGAGGAAATTAGATCTTGTTAGTTCTTTTTGCATCTTTAAAGCATAGGTCCCTGTGGTACACAACCAAAACCAAGCAGGAGCTGTACAGCTTTCAGAATTTTAAGATAATAAGACTCCATGCAGGGATAAGGCACTATATTTGTTGATTCTTATGTTCCATACTTAAGAAAATCCTCTAAGTTAGCTTCTGAGTGAACCCAAAAGAGCTGTAATCTCTCCATCAGGGTGTATTTTGTAGCCGGCATTAAACCATGCCCTGGCAGGATGTAAAAGCTGATCAAAGGCGTTACCTGAAGCCATTAGTTTTAAGTAGCAGACTGAGGAGGTGGTGGCTGCTAGGTGCCTCTGAAAGCCTTCCAGGTTCACTCATATAAAAATAACTGCCACTGCACAAAGATCAAAGCTTAGCTTGGAGAAATGCCAGGGCTTGGGCTTCAAGGCAGAGGAGAGATGAGACCTGGCCACCAGGCAGTCAGCCACTGAGATTGAAGAACTAAGTAGTGAACAACCTGTTATGGCTGCACCAGTCATGGAAATGACTTGAGAAATGGTACAAGTCCATAGTCCAAACTGCCTTTAGCAACATGGGAAAGATTTTATAGTAGGACTGGCCTTGATACAAATAAATATTTATTAATAACATATGTAGAATTTCAATATACTTATCAGATATATAATAATATGTAATAATAAAATATAAAATAAGAGTAAATCATAGTTAAACTCTTGGTTTTGACCAAGAGATGGGAATTCTGTGGTTTAGCACACATTTGCACAACTATTTTCTCTGGTTTAGGTTGTCAGTAGTAAGCAACAATATAAGTGGCAAAGGACTTGTAGCTCTTTCAGAGGCAATGAAAACAAACACAGAACTTTCCTGTATTTACATCTGGGGGAACAAATTTGATGAAGCCACCTGTATGGTAAGTGCTTGCTTCTGAACTCCTCTAAGAGGGTTGGAGTTTGTTTATCCTAGTTCATGTTTACAGTCATTGTAAAAATGACAATAATTAGCAAGATACTTGATTAACTATGGGGTTTATTTAAATAATTATAATATGGTGGTGCTGTAATGAGACTCACTGGACATCAGCATACTGAAATAATCAAATACTCTCCTGTCGTGTGTTATCTTCTAAAGACTTCACTGCAATCAAGAGAATATTCTGTGTCTCATTCTTGGTTTTACTCATTTCAGGCACTTTCAGAATTAATTCAGATGGGCCGCCTGAAACTTAACTGCACAGACGTGGAGCCTTATGAAGTGGATGGGCACATTTACCTTGCAGAGCTCTCCCATGGCCTGCAGAAGCATTACTACTGGACGCCAAGTTATTGGGCAGTGACAAAAAAGGATGCTAATGCCAGTCTGGCAATTGCAGCTGTTTCAGAATACTTGTGAGTGAGGTAGCAGCTTGAAGCATTCGGTATGCTTGAGCTTTTCCTGTCAGGTTTCTAGAAAACAAGATTGTATCAATATCATACTTGCTGCATGTTGTTTCTTCAGGGTCTTTAGTCTGGAAAGAATCTAAACCTGCTCGAAATGGCATTAAAGTATTGAACCAATGACTTTAAAATTTGTTGATAAGTAACAGCCAATATATTAAGAGCCTACTAATATGAAAATGCGTTATTTCTGCTGCAGTCATTTCTATTGCACACTGTCTTCTTTGCCTTACCATGACTAGCTGTAGTTCCAGAGTTCCTAGGTGAGAAATTTAGTGAAATGACATGCTCAGAGGAAAACATTTTCACCACAGAAGTGCATGAAGAGTGACATTAGGTATCGTTAACAGTAATGAGTAAACCAGTCACTGCCCAGAGGCATATGAAGGGTTTAGACTGCAGCAGTGCAGAGGCATGAAGTGAACTCTCAGCAGCTAACTACCCTGCTCTATTTAGACGACCTTCTCAGACCAAATGCTTCTTATTTAGAAAAGATGCAGAGGCTGGATTAGAGCAGTTGCAGAGCATCTGAGTGGAGTGTCCTGACCACCGGACTGCTGCAGGTGAAGAGCTGTTGTTGCCCTTCCTGGGCTGTGATCTCTGCCGTTGGGTTTCCATATAGCTGGGAGAGCCCATATGCAATGTTACTGCATCTCTGCAGGTTGGAGTACAGCCAGGCAGATCAAGCTGACAAAATCTTACACCCAGGACTACTGCTGGGCAGCAACTTTACTTGATAGCAAATCAGATATACTGCAGAAGAAGATTCCTGCTGAAACGGGGAGGTTTGGGTAAATCTGTTTGTTGCTACTGTGCTCTACATACACTCTCCTTTTACTTAGTAATGGTGCTTTTGATCTCTTTTCAAGAATAACCTTTTTTTAAACCCAAGTTAAATTAACCTAATCATTAAGCCACTATAATGCTGGGACTTTAAAGCTGGTATTTTGATTAGCTTGCAACTTGTACTTGTTCCTTGTACAACAAATGATACACACCCACCAACCTTGGTGTCTTTTCTTCCTGTCTCTTAAAAATTAAGAAGTAGCTACGTGGCAACTCTTCTGCACAAATAAGACAACATATACACACAATGGTAGTTAAACATTGTTTAATGATTTGGGTACAGACTTTGTAGAATTTTGGGAACCACTCAGCTTGTTTCCTTCTTCCACCCACTCTGCTCATACCTGTAGAAGTCACTAGATGTGGAGGTGTTCTGTTGTTTGGTTGGGTTTTTTTCATTCCTCCCACCCCAATCACAAATGAACCAGGCTCTGTTGCTCCAAAAAGCACTTACTGTCATAAGAGGACTTAAGAGGTAAATCCACAGAGCAGGTATGTTTGTTCCATGTACCTGTACAGGGTCCTCCTAACTTGTACTTGTCTTGTTAAGCAGAAAGCCCACACATCACACTGAAAACCCTGTTCTAGAGAGAAGCTTATAGTTTAACAGGAAGCTTATAGTGGTTAAACAGGAAAAACAGCAATGAGAACAAAAATTAAGGGTACACTGAATGTGATTGTTTGAGAACAAGCTACATGCTACAAAAACTTCTAAGTTTAAAAATAATTAGATGAGACTGTATTATCAAATATCAAAGTTGGTGTTTTCATGGGCATTGCTGCACTGGAGCTCTGCAGGTTACATTCCGATAGAGTACTTTCCATACTGAGACACTGATGATACAATTTTCTGCCAGAAAGGCCACTACAACATTCAGATCAAGGTAACTTTTTTCCACACATCTTTCTTTCTCTTGTATTTATGCAAGTATTTGTACTGTCTCTGAACCATTGTTTAATAGCAAGATGTGTAAGAGCACTCTGCACTATTGACATCCATAAAACTAGCTCACGTTATAGTTTACTTTGATAGTCCTTTGCAACAAAGGGCTGCAGAATAATTCCCACTGAATCTTGTATAAGCAGCTTCCTGCACACTAAAATAATTATTTGTGCAAAACCCTGTATTGCTTAGAGGCCTATGCCAGCGACATTTACTTACTGCTTTCCTTTCTGTGGAAACCAAACCTTGAAATTCTTAAAAGATGTCTCTTGTGTTCTTTGGACGTAGAGAATTTTTTGCCATGTTATTCTGAGCAAGTTATTCTAGCAAGCGTAATCCTGCTCAGTTAACCATTGCTTTAGCTTCCACAGCTTGTGGAAAGGCAGCATTTTTGCCCTAGTTTAAAAGGAAGGAAAACGGCTGACCCAGTAAACCAGTGGTACAGTGCAGGTCCCCTAAGTCCTGCTGTGTGCTCCAGTCACCACACCACCTTCTGTAAAATGAAACCATCTAGTAAAAATATGTTAAGATACAAATTCTGATAAATTCACTGAATATGTAGTTTAGAAAAAAAAAAGTACATCTTCAAAGCACTCTGTAAAAACCCACCCCCCCAGACACCTCAAAACAAGTGGAAAAAAATTAACCTAAAAGTCATTATATTGGATTGTATTTAGAATAATTTTTGTGTTTAATTCAGTTTGAATAGAACCCAAACTATCTTCTATTATGAGAATTTGGTGCGTAATGTAACAATCCTTGCTGTGTTAAGTGTGCTGCAGCACGTATCCTTCTGACAGGGTGTTTGAGGGTGGTTATGTTAGACTGCTTCCCTCCTCCTTTTGTGCTACCCCCTGCAGTTACAAACAGGAGACACCAGGTGAGGGAAAATTACAAAACAAGTTTATTAAAGTCTAACATAAAACACTTCAGGCTAAATATGTACAACTCCCTCCCTTCCCAGGGGATTATAAAATTGAGAGTTGAGATATATACAAATAACAGAGGAAAAACTGTATATACAGGAAAGATACTTTAAAAATAATTTAACCAAAAAATCAGTTATTAGTCCTTATGTGAACTTAATTCTGCAAGGCTTATCAACAGCTTCTCCAAGATCACAGCCCTGAAATCCTTAACATGGGACTTGTCCATCCATACTTGGAACAGTTTTTTGAAACACATGGTTTCAGAAAAAGTTGTCACACTTTGTGGCCACAGATCAGCAAAACTTTGGAAGTTCAGTGTTGTACAGAGAGCCATTCTCACACACGTATTTCCAAACAGCCAATTTGGAGACTTCAAGATGCAGATAACCTACTCAGACAAAACTTGCACTGATTTCAATGCAAAATTGACTGAAACAGTACTGAAACAGTGGGGCAAATCATGCAATTTTCTCTAAATTATTCCAATTTCCTCTTTCCTTTTGCAGGTAGGTCTCAAGATGTCTGCCTAAAAAGATTCCATGCCTTCCCCCATTAATCCCTTAGAGAAATTATCAATACTGTTATAAACCTTGTGCCTCCAAAATTAACTCGGAATCCTTGAGCCTAGGAATTAGATGTGCAGCTGATTTCCATGCATCTGTTGGCAAAAGGTACAGCACAGACCTGCTTCCTCAGGCCCAACCTGAACAAAGGTTGGGCCTGTTTATATATATATAAAATATATATATTTTATATATATACAAAATTTGTCTGTAGGTGTGTTATATATTTAAATATTTATATATAATATTTAAAATATATATAAATATTTATATATATATTTAAAATCTATATTCTAGTAAATGAATACAGTTCATAGATATCATACCTCAGTAGCTGAGATATCTTCATGAAAGATGAGGATAAAAATCAAGACTCTCAGATGGGGACTCAAGAGTGCAGGTCTTAAATTATTGCTCCAAGACAAAACTACAAGCCCGTGTATTCTATTAAGAAAGGTTAAAATTGTTGTCTTGTAAAAAATAATGATTATCTACTTGTCTATAAAGAAAACTAAATGACTAATAAAGCGTTACTGTTATAAGTATCTAAACAAATCCTGTATAAATCTAAGCACTGTATTTTTTTAAAAAAGTCTGAACTCTAAGAATACAGTAATAAGATACAATTTTAGAAATATAAAAACAGTCCAAACAAACATTGTTATGGAATGCATTTACTATGGAGGAATGTAAATATTTTTAACATATTTTTCTTTTCCAGAGCTAGTTCTCTCTTATGGTTATTTATCCTGGATATCTTAATCTTCAGATACTTTTCCTCAGGTAACAGCAGCCTATCATTAGTTTATCTTCCAAAGCTGTTTAAATATGAAAGCTGTCAGTTGTATGGTATTGTTCGTTTTCAGTATTTATGCGTATCCCAAGGCTTCGGCTCTTGGAGAGCAAAAGTAAAGAAGAACCTTAGGACAAGCTACACAGTTTGCTTTTTATACTGAGTCAAGATCCCAATCTTTGAGATTCTTCAGTTTCAAATGGCAAGGCTAAGGAATCCTTCAGGTGCTACATCAACAACAGAAGCTAAAAAACGGGGAGGAAAAGGGGAAATGCCAACAAACAGGAAAAAAAATATCACTGAGCTTCACCCATTGTCCTTTGCCAGCATTCTGAAGGACATTGGCTGTTCAGACATGATGTAGTGCAGATAAGCAAAGAAAAAAGGTCAGGCAGGTACAGCAGTAATTGGCTCCAGTGGACAGAACCAGAGATGCCTGCATTAAGAATGTTCCCAGTGAACACGGCTGTACTCCCTGCTGTCCATGGGGGACCTTATCAGCAAATTTGCCATGTATAAAGCATAAAATATGACCAAGAAGCAGAGGTTTAAATTTGCCACATACTAAAATGATCAACAGAAAGAAGCAAAAAGTCTATTACTTTACAGGTACAAACATGTAGGAAGAGAAAAAAGAATTCTATAGTGATGCTCAGGAGTCAGGGAACCATTTACAGAATATTTAAATGAAATCCTCAAAGAAATTTTTCACAAGTCTGTTTAATTAAGGTGCAGATTAATACTCCATGTAGAACAGTTAAGAGGTATCTCCTGTGCTCTTCTATTTATCAGTGTCTGGACACAAGGCATCAGTGGAAATAAAATGCTAGCACCAAGTAAATAACCAACAAACAGTATCTGTAAATGCATTGTTGGTACAGTATTATGACTGTTTTCTTACTATCTGATTGATTACTTAAATAATGCTCACATTCTGTTAATGGCACAAACTGGCAAAAAGGAGTATAAAAGAATCCCGTTTGTCAACCAGTGTGTATCTAATGACCCTAGCAAGACACTAGAAATGTTGCTTTTTAGAAATGTATGTTGCTAGTAATCAAACATACCTTCATACAGGTCTTGCTGGATACCAGTTTTGTGTAGTTATTGTGGACAAGTGATATGAGAGATAAAGCCATACATAAGTACTTCAATTAAACCAAATCAGTCATACTCTTAACAAAGCCTTGCCTACAAGAATAGCCATCTGCTTTTTTGTATTCTTCCTTAATACCCCTTCATGTAGCATTGACTTCTTGTTTTCACAGTGAAGGACAGGATTTGTTTCTTTCCTCTTTTATACCTAGTGTCTAGCACAAGAAGCAGCACTACTGTAAAAAAAAAAAAGGATTGTGAGGCTATGATTCATGCCACACCAATTAAGTCGATGCACCTTTTTGTCTCATCTGTAACATGCATGTTCCAAACTCTCCGTTTGAGCAAATGTGGTCACTTGTGCCAAACCCAGCATGTGTCAGGGATGTGAAAAAGAAACCCAGGACAAGATACACCAACACTGGATTCACTCAGAAGAAAAAAAACAAGTGACCTGTTGGAAAGAGTACCCAATACCCAGCAGTGTCTGTGCCATGAGAGCCCCCTGACTTACCGCACTTGAGAAAAAAAAATAACCCTCCTTTACTTGCCTTGTCAGGAAAATATACACGAAGCTTGCTTTCCCTCTGCTCAGACTTCAGCTGACAGTTGTAATTCTTTGGGAGCACTGCACCAGCCTGCCTTCCAGCATGCACCACTGTATCACTTGGAATGCAGGAGTACAAGCTTGCTAGTGCATCTGAATCATGATTTTCCCCTTACACCTCTGGGTTAATATTCCTAAATTATCAAATATGGCTTAAACATCTGCTCTCAAGTGACACCGTGACACATCAGATCAGCAGGAACATGGGTGGAGTTCTCCAAAATACATCAGCATATTTAACAGAGAATTTTTAAGGCAGATGTTGCTGGAAACGAATTGTCTTGTGGAAATTGGTGTTAATTGCAAATAGAAAACTGATTGTAGGTTAGCACAATTCAACAAAAATGTCAGACAGTACTGCACAATGGAAATGCCTTACAAGTGTCTTTACACAGAGGGAAAAAAAAACAAGTCCAATTCAAAAAGCGTGACTGCTTGCTCGATTATGTTCATCTCACCAAACGTGCGCAAGTTCACTATCAAATTACCTTGTTGCCTCTGTACTGCACTGTCAGTACAACTGCTGCAAGAAAATAAACTGAGGTTCTGAATATCCAGTCACAGCAGATCTTAGTAATGTTTCTGATGAAGGAGACTGACTACCCGTCACAGGAAGCAGCATCTGATGGTCTTCACTCCCAATGGGAAGAGGAAGTGCTAAAGACATCTCAGAGGGTTTCACATCTATGGACTCTGATAAGGGACTTTTCTGACTCTGAATGGATTCTTGTTCATTGAAAGAGTTATCAAGTGCATTAGAATCAGGGGGAGTTTCTGATCCTGGGGAAAAAAAAGAAAACAAAAGAAACGTTCAAAAGCTCCTGCTGCAAATTCCCTTTCAAATGACCATCAAAACAAACACGTGGTATGTCAAAGACTGCCAGGGCAGCTGGGCTATCAGTGCTTCGATGTGCTGCCAAGCCAGAATGAGCCGTAAATACAATGTAAGCACTGAGAATCACCACCTTTGCTGCTTTTAGCATGACAACTAGAGGAATGGTGCATTCCAACTTCATTTCTACTTAACATGGTACAGAAGATAACAAATCCTTAACACCACAAAGGAGCTTTGGAAAAAAAATGTAATTATGAAGACTTCCTTGAGACTTTCCATCCCAGAAAATCTAAGAAATGCAGCCACATCCAAACAGCCTCTTAATGTGAGATAGCAATGTACAATACCATCACTTATCCATAAACTTCTTCAGAAGAAAGTGTTTATTAAAGCCCTTCCTGCCAGACCCATGGTAGTTTTTATCCAGTCACTTGAGAAAGGATTTTCTGTTCCTAACTGAAATCACTGTGAAAGAATTCCTCGCTGCCTTCCTGTTTGAAGGCATTGGCTATTTGACCTGTCCTCTACCAAAGTGCACCCTGAAGCCTGTTATTTCAGCAATGAAGCACTTCCGTCTGCACTGTCTCCATGAGAGCAGACATGCCTTGTCAACTCCCCCAGCTCACACCCTGAGGCTCTGCCAGGCTCACCACTGCTCTCATCTCACCCTTGCTTCCACTGGCTTCCTGCTGCACTGGGGCCTTCCTAAATGGGGCTTCTCAAGCTTTTGACATTCAAAGCTACCTCTGCAAATAACTCCTGTTTTCTCATCCTCTACTCCTCCCAATCCAGATCTACACAGACATCCATTACTCCTTTTTCCCCATCACAGAGCCAAGGGAATTATGGTTAATGCACTTGGGGATGGACAGATAACAAGGTGTATGGAGCCAGTGCTGAATGCAGCTGGCTCAACGTCTCCATAGGCAAGTATTATGTCAAGTTTCTTCCTAATCAAAATCTTGTCTCTAGAATAGGAATGGAACGTATTTGGGAAGACTTTCTAGGGCAGAATTTGCAGGTGGAAACATTTTGCCAGCTGTCTGTCATTTTGTGTGCTTGCTAATCCAGCTCAGACTTGGATTAACATTGCATATATAAAAAATCACCCTTATAATAATTTGTGCCTTCAAGATGTAAAGTAATTCCTGTAACTACTACGCCTTGTTCACCTCAGTCACTGCCCTTGTAAAGACACACTCCTCTGACATGTTCAGAAGGGGTAAACCATTTCCTACAATTCAGACTTAGCCTTGAGGTGGAAAGTTCTCACAAGTTACTAGGACAAGAAAGTAAATATTCACGTATAGAAATTCCTGTCAGCAGCAATCCACTTCTATGTTGCTCAACATGTGTTACAGCAATGCAAATGCTTGAAAATGTGTCTTGAATCTACTTGAAAGCAGGCGATCTATGCTTTAAAAGGTTTGGGTACCTCTAAAGTGGATGCTTTTGGCTCTAAGGAGAGCTACTATCCAAAAATTATTCCAAAAATAATTTATGTTCTGATTTCGGGCCTGCATGAACCAAAAAAAAAAAAAAAAGAATAGTTATTAACCCCTGAAGACAAGACAGTTGATGTCACTTCTTAATGTTTCCTTGCAAGGAACATACCTGTGTGAACTTTTGTTTTGTGCTTCTTAAGATTTTTTATATCTGTGTAAGAATTCCCACACATTTCACAGATAAATGGTCTTTCACCTGAAAAATAACAAGTGGTTTGGTAGTTAGAACAATCAGAAATTGAAAACAAACACAGCGAGAGATGTAGGACAATGGATTTCAAGCTTGTATTTTAAACAAGTCTGTTATTCTGACTGTGTCTCTTCAGAAGAAAACTGTTTCCAGAATAGATTAAAACAAAGCAAAAAATCCCAAATGTCAGAAGTAAAGCCATGATCATTCATCAACCACACTGTTATGCAGATCTTAGTCTGAAAAAGGCAATTAAAAAATGCACAAATATTTTCTTTAAATTACGCTAACACAGAGATCCATAAATTAAGAAACTGCTACTTTCAAGTACAGCACAATATGGTGTATTTTAAAGGCAAAATGGTAAAAGTAAGATATTATTTATAGTGCAGGAAGCAGCCTGTCCGGCAACTAACCTGTATGGGACCGAAAATGTTTATTGAGCTCTCCAGAGGAAATAAAACTTTTTTCACAAATGCCGCAGATATATGGCTTCTCTCCTAAAGAAAACACAAGTAGTTTATTACTCCAATATATAAGCCAGGATAGCCAAAAGAACAAACCAGAATAAAGCAGAGGGAACGTCTAATGGGAGAAAGAGCTCCCTAAACTGGAATCAAAGGGAAAAAACATGAGTAAAGAGCTGGATGACAACTCTGGAGGTAACTCCAACCTACAGATTTCCAGGTCATTACCTATATCCAGCCCCTCTGCCAGATGCGCTCCCTTACCAGGCCTGCTGTGGTGCCACAGGACTCGTTTCCCCTTACCTGTGTGTTTTCGGGAATGGGTGATGAGAGAACTGGAGACAGCAAAGGCTTTTCCACAGCTGTCACACACATAGGGTTTCTCCCCTGTATGGCGGCGCACGTGGTAGGTGAGTGTGCTGGCTTGAGCAAACCGCTGGCCGCAGCGATCGCACACATACGGCTTCTCACCACTGTGCTTCCTGCGAATGAATGAAAATGAACATCAGTGATCCTGGGCAGGAAGGAAGCAACACCTGCGACCAACTCACTCTCCTCCATTAGCACTTTACCCCAAAATTCTCTGAACTACAAAAAAGTACAGGCCCTGCACACATGACATGCACCATGAGCACTCAGCATGTTTTGCATGATAGTGTACTGAAAGATAAAACGATGATTCCTAACACAGAAATGTAATTCCTGCTCCTGCCAAAAATGCAAAAAGCCACATGAAAATAGCAGTGAGCTGCAAGAACTGTTCTGTTCTGCTTCCCACCCAGGAACATTCCTCTCTGGTGCTACAAGCAATTTAAAACAAACCCACATCGCTGCCATTAGGATACCAGTACACAGAATGTCAGATTCATAAATCACAAACTGCTTCCCTCAGGAGCATGTACATAGGTGTAATTATTCTGTTCCACAACACGAGAGAAGACCCATGAGAAAAGAAACGGAAATGACCAAATTATGTGAAAGTGTACCTCTTGCTCGCACTGGAGTAAATTGTTCTGTTCAAATAAACACATGGATAAGCATTTGCAAGATTTCACTTTTGCCCACCTGGCATGAATCTTCAGATTGCTTGAAGTCGCAAACTGCAGGTTGCACACATCACATTTGTATGGTTTCTCTTCTCCGTGGTGCATCCGACTGTGGAACACTAACTGGCACTTCTGAGCAAAGCCTTTGTCGCAGAGTTCACATTTGTATGGCTTCTCCCCTGGTGAAAAATAAAACCCTTGTGCTCTCCGCATTTGCGTAAGAAAGCTTTCCAGCCCATTACCTGACCAAAGCTCAGGTGTCTGTTCTAATACTTCATACAAGTAACACCTTGGAACATCCCATAATCAGTCCACTGAAGCGGAATATGCCAGGAATACAGTGGATAACAGGCTATTTTTTAACACATTACCTTTTGGGAAAAAAGGTAATACTATTTTTTAATAGTGCCATTTCTCCCACATTATTTTTGGATGCTGCTACTGCATTTTCAGGCTTTTCACTAGTTCTGTCTACTCATGATTCTGAATATTCAAGATGAACCATCTGCCAAGTGAATCATCTGCCTTTTCTTGCCTGTCAAACAGCAATGGTCCTAATAGTACAGTCTAGTGCTCCATAATTTCTCATTGGTATCTGCTGTAGAGTGCTGCAGGTACTTCTCTGACTACTCGTGTTCTCTTTGTTCTCAAGAGTCTCACAAAATGGATTGCACAATGCTGCAGAGTCATAGATGACAGTATAAAAGAGCCTATCCCTGCATTACTGTGGCAGTACACAATCAAATCAAGAACTCAACTATTCTTAAATATACTGTGTACACAAGAACTTCAAAAATAAAAGTATTAGACATCTAGCCTGCCATCTAGCAACTCACACTGTGAAATTCCCTACCTACTCAGGCAAAAATTCCCAGTACAATACTCCCAAAAGCAGAAAACGCATCTGACATTCCTACCACGACTGGCCCTGAATACTGCTCACAAGCTCTGTCTCCCATATGAATCTTTGATTAGTTACTGGCTGACAATATCTGAAATTCCCTCCCTTGGTTACAGAAAGAGCACAGCGTTCTGCAGCTGCACCTCAATACATCCTACATCACCTCTTTACAACTTCATGGCTTTGTGGAAAGAGCTCCACTGCTGGCCTTGGCTCAGAGTTTTCCAAAGGGGAAAAAGAGCAAAAGTAAGTAAGTTTTTATCTGATTCACTGTTACTTCAGAATTCTCAGTGCTGGCCACAGAAGGAAGAAAACTCCACAAAACAGGTCCCTCCATTGCTCACTGGGCTAAGCATGGCAGCAATGGCCTGAAGAACAAACTGACCCAGAATCAAGTCTTCCATCTTCACGGAAGAATACAGGCACAGCACTTCTCCCACATGTCCCAGGCTCCAGCAACTTGTTGCTCATACTCTTTAAACATTAAGACAACATGTCTGACTTTCAAGTGTTCACAATTGATTTTGCTTTGATGCTTTGTTCAGTAGCTCTTGATACAACACAAACTTCTGGGAATTCTTTATTGAATGCAGAGATTGTAACACCATCACACATTTCAGCTGCATGTTTTACTAAATAAACCCGCAAGTGCTGTAGTACTTCAGCCACCTCCCCTACCTCATATGAAGGCCTTGCAGGAGAAGTTACCTACTTGTCACAAGATTGCATTTTCCCCCACTTTTGTTATCAAATGTGCATTAGAATTTGAAGTTTTAAAAAAGCAACAGAAATCCTGGTATCTAGTACAATGAGTTTTCCACGCTCTACTTGCACTGGAAAACTGGAGGTTTTGGCACTCCCTCACTCTGCAAAATTAAAGGGCACCCAGCTCTTCCGAGTCTTTCCAGAAATCAAGATGCTCAGACTAGTAAAGTCCCCTGTAGCTATTTAAAGCAGAAACTACGATTTTGTTCTGAAAAATGCTGCAGCATTTCATGCTACCAGGATATTGGTACTACCTCCATATGCATACCAGCAGCAGACATAATTCCTAGAGGAAAAAGATCACGAAGATTTTTATAGTCCTTTGTTCACAGGCTGTGATTCCAGGTCTCAGAGACAAGGCCAATGGCTTACCTGTGTGAGTCCTTACATGTGTTTTCAACTGATTGCACTGAGTGAATGCCTTCCCACAGAGCTGACACACATATGGTTTCACTCCTTTGTGTATTCTCATGTGGCGACGGAGGCTACTAGCTTCTGAAAAGACTTTTCCACAGGTGTTACACACTGGTTTAGCTTTGGAATACTTCTGGTCGAGCTCTTCTGCTGTGCTCTCCAGCTGGTAAGTGGTCTTTTCGCTGGCTACGTTAGACATACAGTGCTCCTTCAATGCGCACCCTTGCTGAGACTTTCCCCGCTTCTGTTTTGCAGCAATAGTCTGAACTAGGATATCCTGCGCTGCCAGCGTTTCACTTTCCACCACTGATGCCAGCTGTAGCTCAGAGTTATCACTGCCCTGGGCAGCCTGTTCTGTTATCTGGGTGGCCAGCTTATTGGCATCTAAAAACATCTCAATGGATGTGTTCTCAGTCACATCATTCTGATACTGTACAGATTTATTTTGTATGCTTTTGGGAGAGCTGAAATTCTTCTTTCGCTTTTTGGTCTGAGGAGATTTCTTTTCCAAAGCTGCTTTCTTTGCCTGTGGTTGAACCAACTCTGCAGAAGCAGTGTCTGCTTTCTCCTGGTTACTGTAATCTCGGAGAGTCAGAAGGCAAGTCTGTTGATTCATCTCGATGTTTCCAGTGATACTAGATGTCTCTGTAGAAGAAGGATTAGCAATAAAAGCAAAGTCCTCCATCTTAATTTTGCATTTAGCGACCACTTCTTCCACTTTGAGATAGTCTGCGGCCTGGTGAATTTCTTTAACATTCCAGCTGCAAGAAAATAAGATTTGGGTGACAATATTCTGGACAAAGCAAGCATTTGTTCTGCACCAACTGTATCAAATACAGAGGGCAGAACTACAGGAAAGTTACACTGTTAGAAAATGCAACTCTGAGAGCACATACAGCAAGATCTGATCTCTTGGTGCTGTGAGACCCCAGTACAACAGTTACTCCCGAACCGACAGCCCATCTCTGCACATCCACAGAAGCGAGAATTTTAGTTTCAGTTATGTGCCTTTTGTAGAATTTTCAATTAAAAGGCAAATTGTAAGGTGGTGAGGATAGACATGGGGCTGGTGGTCCAAAAAGCTCAGAAACCACAAGGATAAAATACTGGAGAATAAAATGCATAAATTACAATTCTATAAGCCTTCTAGCAAGTCTTAATTTGCAAGTGGCACATTCACCTCAGCACTGCTGTGAGGCAGGTATTAATCTTGTTTTATAAAACGATTTGCAAACAGTCTTAATTCTGTGTCAGCTGTGCACAGACAATGTTAACACCACAGAAGTCCTCATTTCAGCTACTACATTCTGCTTCTCAGTTGCTGCAACACAGGCCCTGATGGTTTAGAAAAAATTGATCTGGGGAAGGTGGCAACATGTACCATCAATGCATTTATGGATTTACAGCACTTTAAAGAGAGATTCATGGTAAACAACATCATTTTAGCCATCTATTACACAGTAAATGTAATTAAACAGTAAGTAACTAGCCACAGTTACTCTCTGTACATGAATACAACTGTCTCAGTATCTTGCCTTACAATAGCAGAGTTCAAAGGGCACCCTCCCCGTGTCTCTTGTGAACCCACCATCAGAGAAGACAACAGAATTTGCAGCCTAAAGGGACGCAGGGGAAGAGGATGGGTGCATGTGGGCAGACCTGTGAGCATCATTTTTAGCCAAATAGCTCTGCAACAGCAATAGATGACAATGGTACTTGCACCCTCCTCTTCCTTCAAAGATTTCAGCTGCTTCAGAATGAGTCCAGAAACTCTCCCACTGTGGTCCCAGACAGACATCAAGAATGCTGCATGATACTGCTCACACTAATCTGCAAAGCAGTGGTCACTAACTTCACCACACAGCTGCATTACCTGCTTTGTTGCTATTAATGCTTGTAGCTAATTAAAACCAAAATAAAACCAAAACAACAAAACCCCAAACACCACCATACCACCCTGCATCTGTGTACTTAAATTAATGACTGTGAGATTTCAGACAGGTTTTTAAACCTGCATTTGGCACCAGGCATTGGGAAAGGAAGGAAAATCCTGGACTACATACTTTCTAAGAAGTCATACTTCCCTTGTGAGGGATAATGTCTTGTTTGCCAAGAAGAAAGCACTGCAAAGAATCTCACTGTACATAAAGCAACATGACAAGCATAAGATCAGTGCAGTAAGGGGGGAAATGCTTTTTCTGTGACTCCTTTTGGGCACTGTAATGAAAAATTTTAAGTAACTGATCATGCAAATTCTAACCAATGCAATCTTTTAAAGTGGTGCCTATCCTCACCCATTCTTCGGACTTTACCTTCTACCATGTACACAGTTTCTGTGTGTTCTCTGGAAAAATGGACTCCTGTCATCCAACCTAAGAAAGAAAAAACGTATCCTTCCCTCTCCTGGTAATCATGCAAGATGTTTAATCCCTCCCAATCCAGACAGGGAAACTGAAACTAACAATCAGTGGAGTATCAGACAACAAACCTTTGTTTTGGCACTGGCATGTCCTGTCTAATTTTAAAACATACAAACAGATTATCTCCAACTTGTAATATTTATCATAGCCACTACCATGTGTTCCTCCAGAAGGTATTACAAAGGACAAAAAAAAAACAGTACTGCCATAACACAAAGTTTATTTCCCTGTTCTCTTTCTCTATTTAGTAGAACATGTTACCTGTCAAGGTTTAAGATTCCTGTATAAATAAATTCCAGGAGTTTCTGGAATCCGTCAGCTTTCACTTGAGTCTGATCCAAAACAACGTTATTGTCAGACGCATCTCTGTAAAAGGCGCCGAAGTACTCGCTGAAGGAGGCAAGCACGTTTCTGTGTGCTTTGAACTGGAATTCACCAATAACAACAGTGCAGTCGCATAGAAACCCAGCTTCTCGCTGCTTGTTCAGTCTCTCTAGAAGGTGCTCACAGTGATGGGAATACTGCATTTTGGTATTTTCTGACCTAGGAAAGCAAAAAAATTACATTCAAGATTTAACTTTGGTTTTCCCTTAACAGAGTAAGTTAATGATTACAAGTGAGTCAGTGTTCGAATCCATTCAGGACTACCGCAGGGTAATTCTTGTAGTAGTGCTTTTGTATGAGACATAACGAGACGGGCAGGTCTTTCTTCACTTGGGGAGCTGCTAATTTAGAGACAGGAGAGGGAGAGGGCACAGACGTGTATAATTCCCTCACGCCGCGATCGGAGATTAGTTTGTTTAAGCCTGTGAACTGTCATGTCGAAACGGGGCTCCGAGGAGCTTCCGCAGACACGAGACATCCGTGGCTCGGCCTGAACCGCGCTCAGGCGGCGGGGGCTGCCGCTCTCCGGGGAGCAGCCCTGCTCCCCGACGCACAGACCGGGTACCAACAGACCCCGGGAGCAACGGGTCTCGAGCAGGCACCGGGGCCCAGAGGGAAGGGCCACCTCGGCGCCAAGGCAGCAAGGGGGGTGCCGGCGAGCCACGGCAGCCGCGAACTCCCGGGCTGGCTTCGTCGCTGGACGGGACAGAGCGCGCAGCACCCTCCCGCACCGCGGCCCTCACCCGGCCCCGCCACAACGTGCCCCCCGCGGCTGACCAAGCACTGTCTGCTCCTAGCACTGCCCGCCCGACCCGAGGGCCGCTGCAACGCCGGCGAAGCCACCCCAGCCCATCAGCACCCCACGCACCTGCGGAGGGGACGGGAAAGGAAGGGACGCCTCCGCCTCAGGCCGCCATATTCTGATGACGCCGAGCCCGGAGCTTCCGGGATGGGGTTTCCGGCGTCCAGTTCCTGAGGGGCAGCGGTTCCACCCGTGACGAACTGGCGAACCTTGACCGGCCGCGACCCGTCCCGCCGAGGGGAAAGGGTAGCGCCGGGCTGCGAACGGCTGCCCGTGAGGGTCAGGGGATTCGAACTACAACTCCCATCATGCAGCGCGCCGTGGCAGGGCCCGCCATTACAGCGACAGGAAGCGGTGCACACCGGGAGTTGTAGTCACCATTACCTGAGGGCAGGTACGGGTAATTAACGCGACTCCCTGGGTTCAGCTCCTCTTCCTGTACCCCGGCTTGATAAACAGACTGGTTTTGACGTATTTGTTACTGTTAGTGCCTCAGTGCTGAAGAGCCTTGCCCATGCCTGTGCGTCCCACCAAGAAGGGTGTTTTAGCGTTTGCGATAGGGGCGGCTGAGCAGCCGGAGGGGACCGGATCCAGTCATTTTCTAGTGTGAAAAGATTAAAAATGTAGCACCCGTTGTTGTTTCCGCCCGGTTTCGAACCGGGGACCTTTCGCGTGTTAGGCGAACGTGATAACCACTACACTACGGAAACAACCGCGCAGATATGATTTCCGGCAGCACTGCTAATGGCACCCGTCACGGCTTCGCCGCCACCTTCCCTCCTGGCCTCTTCCTGCCTCAGCCCGGCGCCGAAGCAAGGGGCTTGCCCAAGGAACTGCATCTCCGCAGAACTGCGGCCTGTCCGTGCCGGAACTCCCCAAACACTCCCCACAGCCTTCCCCTGCCCCTTGCCTTCCACCCCGCTGCAGGGCCAGCAGGTCTCCCTGAGGTGCGTGGTGTTCCAGGGACGTCGCCCACGGTCCCTTCCACACACGCGCCGAGAATAACAGCACCAGTGCAAACGGAACACGTAAAAATCCCTTCGGCACAACTGCAGTGCCTGATGTGAAAATGCTCACGCTGCAGCCACAGCTCTGTCCAGCGGCACGTTGCCCCAGTACTAATAACACCCATTCTGTTCCTGCGAGGTCTTCAGCAGTCCCTAGAGATTAAATGTCACCATAGATCAGCAGTTGCTTGTACCAGGCATACAAGAAAAATTATATTATGTGTGCCTGAGCTTCGAGAAACACGTAACTAAGAATCCTGCTAAAGCGGAAAAATCTTACCACATTCCTAGTGGCCACGAGATTATGGTTCAGAATTAAAAGATTCACTGTCCTGAAGCCCTTTTTTACCTTCCTATCATTGGCATAGAATCACCTTTTTTACCTTCCTATCATTGGCATAGAATCACCGGGGATTGACAAGCTCTGCTCCAGTTCTATCATGAACAAATCATGATGAACAAATCATGATGTTGGCATAAGGACTTCAGTCCTTTCTGGCAGTTTTAGCCTCTTCCCTGAAACTAAAAGAAATGCTTAAACAAGGAGATTGTATGGTGGTGTTAGGTGGTGTTAAGGTGAATGCCGGTGCTCTTCCTAATAGGAAGTTTTCTGTTTGGACAGGAGGCTCCTTCCTTCCTTAGGTGCCTTACAGCCTACACAGATTACTGTGACAGAGTACACAGAAAGCTGAGCCCAACATGGTGCACAGAAGACATTTCTAAAATACCAGTGATTTTATTACAGGTTTTGCTTAACATTTCATAGAGAAGAACCTGAAGTGGCCGCTTTCTGGAAGCTAGTGTCTAGGGGTAGCTCTGTGTCCACAGCGAGTGTCTCGCCACTGTCACAGTGTCACAGTGAGGTGTGCACGTACAGTGCAGGGAGAATATGCCTTGCACAAAGAGAGAGCATGGAAGAGATAAATACCCTCTCCAACAGGGCACAGACATGGGTCCGGGCCCTAGGTGCAGCCCCCAGGCTCAAGTCCCTGCCCTAAATCGCAGGCACCAGCCCCTACACACCGCCGCCATGCCCCGGATCCGGCTCCAGGTCCCAGATTCAGATCCAGATCCAGGCCCAGTTCCCAGGGAAGGGAAGGGGGGTGGAGGGGCGAGGAGGGGCGGGAAGGGGAGGGGAGGGGAGGGAAAGGGGAGGGCGCAGTCCGGAGCGCACTCCCAGGAGCACGTGGTACTACCGCCGGGCGAATGGCCCGAGCGTCCCAAACTCCCGCCACTCTCTCCCTCCCGCCCCCTGCCCCCGCCGTAGCCAATGGCGGCAGAGGTGGATGCCACTTCTGACCAATGGAGGCGCGGTGGGCGTGACCGCGGAGGGTTTAAGAAGTGCCGCACGTCGCGTGGCGGTGTGGGGGGGCTCCAGCCTCACTAACCCTAATGGCTGCCGCCGTGCTCCCCTTGCACCCGTCCGCTGTTTTGTTCGCTGACTTTCAGCGGACGGGGGGAGCCGTCTGGGGGGGAATGGGATTTGCTATCAAAAAACGTCAGCCACGGGTCTCCCCAGCCTAGCCCGCCCTGGGGTCTCCGTCCCCCACGCAGCCGGGGGTGTGCCACGGATGCTCCCGCCGCCGCACTTTAAGGAGGCCGCGGTCGGCCGGTTCGCGCCACTGCCGCCGCGAAGAGTTCGTCTCTGTTAGCCTCGCCGGCGGTCGGGAGCGAAAGGGCGCGTCCCCGCCGGGTGCCCCAGCAGAACAAAACGGAGCAGCGTCTTCGGCACTGCCGCCGCGCTTCCCTCAACCGTGGGATTCGCGGATGGCGCTGCTCCGACACCCGCAGCAGCCTCTCCGATGGGGGCTGAGGATGGGAGGGGGGGGGCGGGGAGGGTGTCGGGGTAGCAGCGTGCGACCACCGCCTTGGGCCCGACTGTTGGGGCCGCCCCCCCCGTCACCTCGCCGTGAGGCGGCCTTGCCCCGCTGAGGCGGGCGGGTAGAGATCGCAGTCCGGGTGGCCCCGGCTTGGTGGGGCCCGGCCGCTCCGCCCGGCGGGGAAGGGGTGCCCCCGGGGCGAAGGGGGCTGCCCGGAGGCCCCAGAGTGTCACTTCCCTGCCGGGATTTTTGTTGTGTCCCGTCCTTCTCGGGTGGACGGGCGATGGAGGGGCCGTGCGCACCGCTGGCGCTGCCATCTTGTTTGGGAGGGCCCTGCGGTTGTGGAAAGCTGGGATTGTTGAATTTAACCTATGTAGCTCAAGAAGCGTTGTATTTTATTTTACTCCTCCGGTTTAGAAGTGTGGAGCTGAATTTGCAAAAGGACGCAAGCCCCCGGGTACGGGGAGCTGGCGACAAGCATTTTGCTGCAGTGCAGAAGAACGGGTTGTGCAGGGAGCAGTGCTGGGGCTTGCCCCCCCCGCCGCTCCTCCCAGTGCGGAGGCTTCGGCCCTGCCGTGTAGCAGGGGGCTCCTGTGGAATGCCCAGCCACAGCACTGCCTCCCTCACGGAGCAGTGCAGGGAGCGCGGGCTGGGCTGCTTGCCACCATGGGAGCAGGCTGTTTGGTTGCCTCTGCTGGGATTGCTTGCCATAGGCCAAACTGTTTCAGTGCTTCTGCAGCCACCATCAACCACTTAGAGAAAGTTTATCAGAAAAGTCGGCATGCGTGCGTTCCTGCACCCACCGCAGGCCTCGGCTTGGCAGGGAGCAGACATGGCCCTAGAAGCTGGGTTTGGTCATGCCGCAGTGCTCATATTTTACCAACCTTTAAATTCTTTCCTGGGCGTTTGACCAGTGCCATCTTGTGGCCTTGTGGGGTTTGGGTGTTTTTCATTCTTATCACAAAGTGCACTTGGGCACTTAAATTTTTTGCACTTCTGTTCCACGGAAACCTTCTGTTGCCAGAGTAAGTAGAAGTGGGAGAGTCCGACATCACACGCCTGAAGATGTATAGCTCCTTTCTGGTAATGGAATCTGAATGTCACTTAATAAACCCAATTTAGCTAAAACTTAACACTGGCTCTGCCAGCAGTAGTGTTCTTTCTCATTTGAAACCAATGCATTTTCATTGTTTTCTCTTGTTTCTTAGCAACAGCTTTCACTTAGCATCAAATAATTATTTCAGTCTTGCAACTAAACATGCAAAGCTGAAATATTTCATGTGCTTAGTACATTACTTTTCAAAAGAAAACTCTCCTTGTCTCTCAAGTCTTGTTTCCCTGAGAAAAGTTCTTGTTTCCTAATATATCTGATTTTGTGGCATTTACCATGATTTTTCTTCTTTCATAGTCACTTCTGAAAGAGGCTGTAAGCTTAAGCTGCCAATTTTCTGCATGCATGAGGAAGTGTGTGCTCTGCAGATCCACGTGTCATAGAAAAACTGTTTAGAAATGGAGGACTTGATCTACTTTTCCTTCTGTTTATTGATGGTAGGAAGGAAAACTTTGTGCGATGTGGTATTGTCATGGAGACTACAATAAACATAGCTGTTGCTGCTACAGCTTTCTACTGTTTCTGAACAGCCTGCAGCTGCCTTCTGGCTCCAGTGAAGCTGTCAAATAAAAAAAAAAAAAGCTACTTTGACTTTTTAGGAATCTGAAGCTCTCAGCATTTTCTTCCCTGAAGAGTTTAAAACCATTTGCAAGTGGCTGCAGCCTTGGTGCGTCAAAGTAATAGTATTTGAAGGCTCTTTTCTAAGCAGAACTCAACTGGCAGTAAGCCGCAGTGATCTGTGAGAGTCAGCAGGTCCACCTCAGTGCCATGCTTCAATCACTTGAAGTGGTTTTTCTTCCCTGCAGAGCGTAAGTGCTCTTGTTAACATCTACAGATTTGTTTGATTTTAAATATCTGATGGTTGGTTTGAAGCTTGTGTGCACCAAGAATGTTATTCTCAATGCTAGCAGTGCACAAAGTGACACAGAGGGAGGTGATGATGTTTGGGAGAAGAGGAGCACTTGTTCTCAAAAAAATTATGAAAGCCTGTTGTTGAAGTTCATATTCTGGGCTGCTGTTCAGGTGGTTTGGGAATGAGGATTGTGCATGCTGGGTGACTTGTAGTCAGGTGTCAGATGCTCAGAAATTAACATCAAGTTGTCGGGAGGTTCTGTAACAAATGTTTAGCTGGTGGACTTTGCAGGGTGTTATGCTCACATCTGCTTGAGGATGTTTTTGCTGTTTGACGTCAGTCATATGCCATGTATCATTTCAGCTTGTGTACATGGGAAGTGCCTTGGCCAAAGGTGACAAAGCACTGGGACTGCCCTGGCAGGATGAAATGCCCTCACTGCACTCTGCTAATGTATGCATGGGGACGTCTTCCTTTTGCATGGTCATCTTTGAAGTGTGCTATTTCTAACCAAACCCTAGAGTTTTCTGTCTCTGTGGGAAATTGCTCCCTTTCTGTGGAGAACCT